GAAACATTTAAAAATCTACAATCCATTAAGTACCAAAATAAAAATGTTACACAAAAAAGTGGGTTTCTTTGAGGCTTCTTGAATATGGATTTATGCAAAATTATCTTGTCACTGTTAAAAGTTTTTTATATTTGAGAGAGAGAATGAACGGTGGAGGAGCAGAGAGAGGGACAGAGGATCTGAAGCAGGCTCTGTACTGAGAACAAAGAGCCCAGTGCAGGGCTTGAACCCGTGAACCGTGATATCATGACCTGAGATGAAGTCTGACACTTCACTGACTGAACCACCCAGGCATCCCACCATTGTTAAATGTTTTATTTCACATAATTTTTGAGAAAATATCTGGGAAACAAAACTTTTGTGTATTTGATAAAAATGTTTATCTTTAAATATAACTTAATATGTGTACTTACATGTAAATTCTCATTTGTTATACTCTTTTTTTTTTTTTTTAATTTTTATTTATTTCTAGGAAAGAGAGAGAGAGACAGAGTGAGCAGGGGAGGGTCAGAGAGATAGGGAGACCCAGACTCTGAAACAGGCTCCAGGCTCTGAGCTGGCAGTCAGCACAGAGCCCGACTCGGGGCTCAAACCCACGAACCTTGAGATCATGACCTAAGCGAAAGTCGGACGCTCAACCGACTAAGCCACCCAGGCGCCCCTCATTTGTTATACTCTTATCATGAGTTGAGCTATACTAACTGTAACTTGAGCTTGCAAATTTACATGCCATTTACTTAAATATGAGGAAAATTCTCCTTGATGATAACAAATCATTTGTAAGTAGCATGTACATGACTTCTATATTCAGGGGTATAATAGAAATTGTAGCCATTTTATTCAAATTAAGTAGTTGGTTATATTCAGTATCTCTGAAAAAAATCATTTGCTAAAACTTCTGCATTTCACAACAGAATAGTAATTAATGCTTTACACCTTTTCAGTCATCCAAGAACTATTGTTTGTTTGCTATGCTCTAATTCTTGCACCTAGGCTGTGTTTTAAATGGGCGGAGGACCAGCAGAGTCTTTATCCTTTATGGGGGTGTTCTGGAGGGGTATAAATATACCATGGTCAATGGATAATTACCATATTCATGCCTGAGTGTTGAATTCAATGAGAATATCTATGGGAAGACCCCCTAAGGACAAGAAATGGCTGTAATCAAAATTCACTTTCTGTTGGCAAATCTGTCAGAGAAGCTACTAATGACAGCAATTCTCCCTTTTTTCTCTTCAGATGGAAAAATAGCTGAAAGTACATCAGGTAAATTACTTTTTTTTCTTATACTTGTTTATACTAAACAACAATAAAGTGACAGTGCTTTTATTTTGAGAGAAAACAGATCTCCCCTGAAAAAAACACTAAAACATTTAAAATGAAATATTCCTTATTACAAAAATCATACGCTATACTGTTTTTGTATAATCTGGGCCAGATATTTTCATATTTAATCTAGAATGTACTTTTCTTATAGAAGTATTTTGTATTGCAGGATTAATTTCTTACTGAATTGTTTTAATTAAAATTGATCCTATTCCTATTAGTTGTACTATAGATCCCTCAGAAAATTGAATAACATTGAATATTACCCATTATTTTGTTTCCCTATGCACCAAAATGAAAAATTGGCCGCAGCAAATCAAGACTGCATTTATGACATTTTCTTAAATCTAACAAAAGGATTTTTGCTAATGTCAATATAGATTGAATTTGATTCTGGTCTAACATATATAACAATCAAAATAGCCCAATATTACTTTTATATGTTTTTCTTTTGTGATATTTGAGATACCTGGGTTTTTCTACAACCTAAATACAATAAAATGTAATTGGAAAATGTGTCCTTTGAGGTAAACACAAACTGAGAATAAGTAACAGGTCAGTTGTCTCAAAAAGACCACAAAATCACCTCATCATAATTACGGACAGGGCTCATTAGGTTTCACTATAATGATAGAGAAAGCGTTTCTTTCCTTCCAAGTGTACAAAATCTGATTGTTAATTAGAATAAATTGGGTCATATGAGTCTTTAGCATTCTTCTGAAAGTCCTTATTCAAGAAGTTTGAAAGAGGCAAGGGAGAACTTGGAATTCTATACTTCTCTGAGAATATTCTGAAATTATTAGCAATTGAGTTTTTTCCTGTGTCTCTCAGAGAACATTCCAGGTCTAGGTATTATTTGGGAGGGACCTGAGGATCTTTAAGGCTAGAGCTGCACTGGATGAATAAAAGTGCCAAGCAAGCGTGCTTCAACCAGCCAGCACAAAACTGATCCAACTGCAGAGCAAAGTTATCCTGCACAATCTTTATTCCTTAATGAGACAAAGTTTCACATATTTGAGAAAGGGATTCATAACTTCCTGTTTTTTAATATTTTCAATTTTACTGATTTCAGACAATATAATTTGTTTGTTGCCATTTAAAAAATCTTCCCTTCTCTGTAGCTCATGCATATTCACCTCTCTCTTCCAGCAGTTTTTCTCCATAGAGTGAAGGTAGAGGAACAGAATTATATCTATTTCTTTCTTCTATTTCATGTTGTGGTCTAAAGAGTATAAGTTAGCCCTTTCAAAAATTTGTGCAAAATGTATGCAAAATATAAATGAATATATTTTACTTATCTTTGAGCTATGAAGTAAACATTTTATTTATCTTGAAGCATTGTATAAGCAATCTGTCTTTAAACTAGGTGATGGCATTATACATTTTGCATAAGAAAAAAAAGGATTTCTTGGCAGATTTTGCCAGGTGATCTGAGACAAGTTATGCAACCTCTTTTAAATATCAGTTTTCTCATCTACATGTGAGGAAATAATAACAGTATCACCCTTATGGGAGACTGTGAGGATTAAAGAGATAATTATGGAAGGTACTGTTACACGTCTAAGATGTGGCATATTCAAAACACATAGCAACCATTACTGCTAGTGACCCCAATGGCAATATATTTCTGAGTAAGATTTGTATATAAAAAAGGGGCAAATAAGTTAGTAGGCTCACTGGCTAAAGACAAGACCATTCATTTCAACAACAGAATGAGTAAGTTCAGTGGGAACATAGGTTTAATAAAATGAAAGATCTAATATACCTGGGGTTGAACTCAGGAGGAGTATAAGTATAGTGAATATTTATCATGAATTAAATAAATGAAATAAAAATTCTACATGAGTTTGTGACAAATTTAGTGAGGACAATAAAATATATTAAAAGATGTGGTCTCTCCCTATTGAGTACTTAAATTTTTAAAAAATTTACCTATTTTTGATAGAAGGGGCAGAGAGAGAGAGAGAGAGAGAGACATAATCGGAAGCAGGCTTCAGCCTCTGGGCTGTCAGCACCAAGTCTGATGTGGGGCTCAAACCCACGAACTGTAAGATCATGACCTGAGCCAAAGTTGGTCGCTTAACCGACTGAGCCACCCAGGTGCCCCAGCTCCCTATTGAGTACTTAGTATGTACCAGACGCTATGCTATGTGCTTTCAGCTTATCTGATTTTTTCATTTAATTAATAGCCGTATTATAAAGTGGATAGTGTTTTATTATCATTTATTATGTAGTCTCCATCTAACAGATAAAGAAACTTTGTTTCAGAAGTATTAAATATATCCAGGGGCATAACCAGGAACAAGAATAGCACATACAACAGGCACCTGGGTGGCTCAGTCAGTTGAGCGTCCAACTTCAGCTCAGGTCATGATCTCACACAGTTCGCGCGTTTGGGCCCTGCATCAGGCTCTGTGCTGGTGGCTAGTTCAGAGCCTGGAGCCTGCTTCGGATTCTGTGTCTCCCTCTCTCTCTGACCCTCCCCTGCTCACGCTGTCTCTATCTCTCTCTCTCTCAAAAATAAATAAAATATTTAAAAAAATTTTTAGAAAGAATAGCACAAACGTAAAGGAACAAAATTTAAAATAAAATGTTTTTTTCTTCCCACTTGACAAAAACCTATTTGTTAACACTTAAAAGGGACTGATTGTAATGCAGAGTTTTCAGATCACTGGATTCCGCACAGGAGCCAAGTGGGCAGTGACCTTGCCAATGTGTCCATCTCCCTGCTCTTTCCATCTCTGGCTTTGTCCTACACATAGAGAGATGCCTTGCCTGCGTGTTTCAGGGCCATCTATTTCTTCCGCAAACAGGCATTTCCTGATCATTCCGTCCAGGACATGGGGTTCTCATCACTGCAATGTGGTCTAACCTTAAGGGAATGGTCTTGAAAAGGATGCTTATGAAGGTCCTGAGAACAGGCTTGGGGATTATAGGGCCCTGGGGACTTAGTAAGGTCTACAGTGGAAGAGGGAAAATGGCACAGGCTCTCGGTTGGTGAATCTTGATTCTCTGCCTTCCCCACCGCCTTTTTTTTTATGTTTTTGTTTATTTTTAAGACAGAGAGAAAGCATGAGCTGGAGAGAGGCATGGAGAGAGGGAGACAGGAACCAAAGTGGGCAGAGAGACCAATGTGGGGCTCACACTCACAAGGCATGAGATCATGACCTGAGCCAAAGTTGGTCCCTTAGCCAGCTGAGTCACACAGGCATCTCTGACCCCCTCTGCCTTTATTCTTTGCCCTCTGAGGAGAGCTGTGGCACAAGGAAGGCCAGAGTGAGACTTGAGTGGTTCCAGTAGGAACTTCTGTTGCTTGCCTCTAAGAGAGACATTGTCCAATGTCTGGAAGCCCAGATGGGTTTGATTCAAATCTAGATACCTGGGAAACCTCAGTGACTAAAACAGGCAAAAAACCTTGAGCTTATGGAGCTTAAAATCTAGACGAAGGAGACTGTTAATAAACAATAAACCTAAATAGTAAATATGGTATATTACAAGTTGATAAAATCTCTGGAATAAGTAAAAATTAAATCCCCATGATAATTGGGAGTGGTAGAATGGGGGTGGCAATTTTAAATTGTCAGAGTATGCCTCATTGAGATGACATTTAAGCTGACACCTGAGGGAAGTGAATGCTATAATTTATATAATATTTTCATCTTTTTTCTTTGCAGAAAAACGGAAAAGAGAAGTAGGTACGTTATTTTAACTCTACCGGCTCTTGCTAAGCCAAGGACACTGTGGATTTAACACAGCAGACTGTTTTGAATGGAGAGGTGGGACACTGGTACTTAGGGTCTAGCAATGGTGAGGAAGCAGCTGGGGAGGTGTCCGCCCTGTCTGTGAGAAGAGTTTCTAGCACACGGCAGTGAAATCTTCACAGTTCTCTTTATCTTTCTTGAAGTCTTAGAACTATGACAAAAAGATATGGTTATGGCAGTGATGTCAATAAGCTGTGTATGTAACTGCAAGGACTGCCAGAGTAATGAGGAAATGACTTACGGCTTTCAAAGAGTCACAGTCAAATTGCGTTTTCATGGTAGCCATACTGTGTTTCAAACATGATCTTCTGTTATTCACATTAGGTGGCTTTTTGTACAGTAGTTTGAACTTTGCTGACCCAGAAAGAAGAAAGAAATCTCTTGTGGGTTCACCCTTTGACACTGGAGTTGATGGTCCCGGAAGGGCTGAAGATGGGTGGAGACACCACCAAGATACTGATAGCTTAGTATTAAAAGACACTCCAGCAGGTACTGTTAGAGAAAAATGCTTACCTAGGAAACAAGTGCTTTTTATCATTTAGGACAACCTGATCATCTTTGTACTATTTGCAGCACATAGCCTTAATGTGAATAGTGGAGAATATAAAGACACTAATTCCAGGGCCAATGAGACTGATCCATCCATCTTTAGAGAGTTTCAGCAAAGATGCTTATATTAAGTTATATTTTTTCCTGATAGGTTTAATTTTCTTATGCTATTTTTCTACTTGTTGCTATTCTTACAATGATAAATCATTTTTATATTATTTAAGTTAATTAAGATACTTCCAGGACTCAAATTTAGTGTAAGGTCTCCCTACACACGTTTTTGTCTCCAACCACAATTTATTTTTAATACCAGGATTCTCTCTTTAAATTGCGTAGTCAGTTTTCTGAGAAATATTATAAAGCAGCGTTTCTAAACAGTTTAGAGACTGAAATTTTGTTTTGTTTGAGAAAAATTAACTTTCTGTAGTTGAGATATGTTCTCTCTGCTTCCACAGCTGGCCAACTTTTACTTTACTTGCCTGGTCCCTGAAATCTCTATAGTTCATGCCTGTACAAAAACAGAAGAGATAAAGCTCCAATGAGAAAAATAACTTCAATGTTTTATATTGAAATCTGAGTCTGAGTGATGATAACTGAAAAGGGAGAAACAGCTTTGGGTGTAGGGGTGCAATTGAAATATTTCAGGAAGAATGTTAGTTCTCTGTCTCTCCAGTCATTTGTTTTGGGACTGACAAACTCAGTATGACCTATAAGTTAATGCAAATATTTTTGCTCTTGTTTACAGTACTGAGGTGTTAATTGTTCGTGTTCTAAAGAACACAGTGAGATTTTCTTAAATGGTCTCAATTCTTCAGTTTTTTTTAATGGAATTCTCAAACCTCATGGCAAATTGGTTGCCATGCATACCCCTGATTACACTGTGGAGTTATATATGGGAAGTTATACAGAGGGGAGGGATATTTTTGAAACTATAACGTAGGCCTAGTTCAAGCACTGTGTATAGATTAATTTGTTGTACATTATGAATGAATGCAACTTTTCTCTGATAATGATTGTATTTTTGTGTGGTAGAGAAAACCGATTCAGCAAGTCATTTTGCCAACGGTATCTTTGGTGGTATTGAATTGGATGGCACTGCTTCAAATCAAAATGACATTGGTAGGGGTCCATATGCCCAAAGTGGATTTGATGTGAATGCAGTAAGTGGATTAGATGGCTCTGATTCTGCTCTCAGTGAAACAGGTATTCTAAGTTGTTTCTTAGTTTCTGCTTTTGACAGAAAAAGTCAATCAATTACCAAAGCAGGGTGTTGCTTTTGACCAGTATGGATTTTAGTGTTAGAAGAACTCACAGAAACATTTTTTAAATTCTGTTTAATTCTTAAAGGACCTGTATTATCTTTAACAGAAATCAGCAACCTTTTAGTGAAGAGACAATTAGATGTAATGTTTTTATGTAGGAGCTTGGATCTGGAAGGGAGAGATCCAGTTTCTATCCCCAATCTTTCCTGCCAACCTTCTGTGGACTTTGGGAAAGCCACTTAAGCTCTCTTGTTCCCAGGTTTTGTCATAACGAACAGAAAAATTTTGGTCTTGTGTTTGTACTTTTGTGGTGCTAACTTCTTAAGTTTCATCACTCCTCAGTTAGTTTCTTGAAAAAGAATGCCAGAAAAAAATAAATTTACAAAAGTGTGAATAAATAGCATTTTATATTTTGGAGATTAAAGTCAGTGAAAGAAGTTAGGGCCAATACAGTACAGTAAGTCTAGCTATTTTTGTGTCAGAGCAATTATCTTAAAAGATGTGGTAATTGGTGGAAAGAAGAAGAGAAGGGAGTTTGTTGGTAAATCCATGGGTTTTTAGTTCTCATATCAGTGGCTCAGGAATTCTGATCCAGACTCTGTGAAGAAAAAAAATACAAATAATTTACATCCTTTGTTTTTGCTTTTGATAACTGTTGCGTTTTACAGTCGCCTTTTGGTTTTGGTCTTGGTGGTGGAAAGAAGGGTGAATTTGTATTTGGTCTTGGTAATTGTGGTTCATGTGGAGTAGGGGTCAGTGGTTTTGAACAAAAAGGCTTTGCTAGAAAATGAAATAGACAACACTGGAAAATCGAATTCCAGTGATCTAAGTATTACTATTTAGGTTTTGTGCATAAAAAGTAGAGTCATAAGTTGTATTAAATTATTACCTGGTAACAATGTTTGTTTGTTCTCATTTCAGGAGATAACACCAACCTAAGACATAGGGCTGGATTTAGTAGCAGTGTCTCTGGAAATTTGGGATTTGGTTTGAGGGCATCTGATCAAAAGGGATTGGACATTGGTAGAGCTGACTGGAATGAAATGAGCAACAGAGGATCTGCTGGGGGTAAATCAATAGGTTTTGGGTTTGATGCTCATAGCTTAGGTATCCCAACTAAGACTCATTCCAGAAAATTTAAAATTAACTACTTGTTTAAAAATAAACTTTTTAAATATTTGACATTTAACTAATTAAGTAAAGCTAATTTTTAATAACATTTTAATTTTTCTGTCAGTTGGAACCAGGTCTTTTGGTTAGGAACTTGGAAAAAGGAAGGGCGATAATGCATATGGTTTTGGAGCTTCTGGTTTGAGTTTATTTGGTGGCAGTGGCATTAATAGCAAAATAAAAATGGAAGGAAGTCAAGTGGGTAGTTCTGGAGGACCCATTTCCAATGATCTAGATATTGAGGTCTCATTTTAATGCATAAAAAATTCTGAGTTATGAAAGGTTTTCAATATACTCTGTGATATCATTTTATATTCTGGACGTGATACCAGTTTGAGAAATGCTGGTAGCTCAAGTATTCTACTCAGTCTCTGTTCCTGAGAAATCCAATTGGATTTCAAATAATCATTCTTTTATTTTGATACTATTTTGAATTTTCTGTTAACGGGAAGGCCTGGGTCTTTTGCTCTTGGACTTGAAGGAAAGATGTTTGGAACTGATTTTGGTTTTGGAGATTCTGGTTCAAATTGCTGTGGTGACAATGGCCTTAGTGAAAATGGAATAAAACATACTGATGAATCTAGTTCCATGGTTTAGTTCTGTGCATTAAAAAATTTGAATCATAAAATTTATTAAAAAATGTCCTGATGACAATCATTTTACATTTACATTTACATCAGTGCAAGAATTAGAGATAGTTTTTTGGATAGCATATCAGAAAATTTGAGCTATGATTTTGAGAAATTGGTCAAAAGGGATTTGGAGGCAGAGGATTTGACCAGAGTAAGCGCAGCAAGGAATCAGATGCCAGTGGCTAAGGTAGTCTGATCTTACACTCTGCTCAGGTGAAATCAAAATTGATTTCAGCCTTTCATCTATTATTTTCTAACATTTTTATTTCTCTGTTAGTGGAAACGTCCTCATCATTTGATTTGAGACATGGACATAGAAAATATGAAGCTAAATCTGATTTTGTAGAATCTGGCTCAAATCGATTTGATGACATTGGTCTTAGTGAAAATGTAATAAAAGGTACTAGAGAATGTAATTTTCATGGTATGGATGTTGATAGTTAATTTTTTGCTTAAAAGTTTCTCAATTATAAAATTTATAATTAATAAATTTAATAATTTATAATTAGTAACTATATCCTGTTGACACAGTTTTAATATTCTGGCAGAAGCACTAGTACAAAAAGTGGTGGTGAGCATGCTGGTGAAAATCTTGAAAGTTCAGGATTTGGTAAAAAGGAATTTTGGAGGCAGGGGATTGATAGAATGAGCAGCACCATGTATGTTGTGTCTGGATCCTTGAATCTCCAGTCCAATGCCCATAACCTGGACATTCTCCTAATGTGAACTCTTTGTGGAACTGAAATGAGTTTCAATTTTTTAATCATTTTTAAAAGTAACATGAAAATACTTCCATTAGAGGGAAGGACTTGGTCGTCTAATTTTGAAAATGGAGAGAGGAAAGGTGAAACTCAATTTGGTTTTAGAGATTCTGGTTCAAATCCAATGGCCATAATGGTACAGACTTGGATGGATATAGAGTAAGAGGTACTGGAGGCTCTAGTTCCAGTGCTCTAGGTGTTGATGGTTAATTTCTGTGCATAGAAAAATTCTGAATTATGTTATGCATAAAAAATAATTCTCATGACCATTATTTTGTATTCAGCAGGTGACTCAAATGCAAGAAATGGGGATGAATATTCTGGTGGTATCTCTGAAGACTCAGGATTCAATTTGGGGTCATCTGATCAGCAGGGATTTGGAATAAGTGGAATTGGTAGGAATGGAGAGAGTAGCAGTGGAATCGTGGGGGCTGGATACTTGAGTCCTGAATCTGATGTCAGTGCCACAGGTATCTTAACCTGGACTCTGTTCCCAAGAAATCCAAATTAGTTTCTTCCTTCTTCATTTCTTTTAATCACATTTTGATTTTCCATTAGGAGAAATCACTTGGTCTTCTGGTTCTGGAAGTGGTGGAGGAAGGAAGGGTGCAGCTGGACTTGATGTTGGTACTTCTGGACCAAACGAATTTGGTGAAACTGGCCTTAGTGGTACAGGTACCTGTGATACTGGAAAGGATATTATTGGATCTGGTTCCCATGGCTTGAGAATTGGGATTTATGCCTGATGTTTAGAAAGTCAGGATTCTAACATATGTTTTAAAATAACAAAAAAATCATAAATATTAATAATGATATTTAAAGCAAGACAAAATCCTGAAATAATAAACTGTGTTTAGGTGTGATTAGGAAAAAGTCATTTAATATTTTTCCGTAGAATGTGGAATGAGTTTAGTGGCTATGATTATATTTATTTGGAATTGTTTTTGTTGCCTTTATGCAAAATTGATTTGGAGTCGCATATGTGAAGTGTTGATTTGTTGGATTTGATCTTTGTACTCTGGATCTGGTCTTGATGGTTTAAAATTTTTTGCAAGTTTATTTCTGGTAAGAGTAAATAAATTCCATCCTTTTTGAACATCTCAAAATATAATATTTCTATTTAATGGAAGCATTAGATTGAATAGTCTAGGTATTTGTGGTACACATTGGTAATATTTATTGTGATATGGGGACTATTTTGATTCTTCTAGCAGTATGGGAAAATCTTGGACACCACTAGACTAAGTGATCTCAGAACTGTGGGCAGGAGATTCACTTCTAATGACATAAGTTATCTGAAAGATATTCAGGATTCATATTTAGGGATCAACTTGAGGATTGATATGTTTTTAAAAGGTAAAGTTTAGTTAGCAAGAGATCTACTTAGTGTAGTAATGGTTGACCTCAGTCAGGATTGACTATCAATGAATCTGTTCAGCAAAGGCTTGGTAATAAAGAAATAATAATTCACTTTTGGATTGTTCTTAATCTTTGGACATCAGTTTTGAGGTCAACATTTCAATGGAACTGAGAAATTTAAAATCACTCATTTTTTATTGCCATTGATCTTATTTAAAACCAGTTGGTACAAATGGTTTAAGAGAAACCAGTTTTAACCCCCAGGTGTGCTGCCATTAGTTCAGGTGTTCCAATTTAGGATGTATTCCTGCAAAATGTATTAAGAAGTAGTTGTCTCTCCTCTTTCTGTTGTGGACTGGTAACCAGTCTGAGATTTTTCTGTTGTTTGGATACCAGCTTTTGACTGTCTTCATTTTTTTTTTTCAAATGAGATAGACTTGTATTACTTAGTGTTCTTTCTGGTAGGGTATCTAATGGTAGTAAATCTAGTGGCTTTGAAGTGGCAAGTTCTGGATCTGTTGACATTATTGTCTTATTGGCATTAGACATGTTGAGATGAACTCTCAGTTCAACTGTATCAGTGGGTTTTAGACTTCTGGTTTCTGTGAGTACAGAATCTTTTGTTCAGTTGACATATTAAAATGGTGCCCAGGTTTTCCAAATGTAAAGCAATGCAAAGGGGGAGTCAATGTGTCTGAAACAGGGATAGGAAACCCTGAATCCTGTTTATACAAAACTTTATTTTTCCCTAAGCACATTTTAAAGGCACCTGATCTGGAGTGAGTTAATTTGATCATTGCATTTGGTGGCAAGGCATTTAATTTTGTTACTCCTGCAGGTTAAGTTGATAATATTTTTTTATATAGCTTCACATTGTTCAAAATCTGCTAGCATTAGCATTGCTGAACTTGGATCCATGGTTTATCCATCAGATTTTAAAAACTTTTTTTTCCGTATTTTACCAAGTAAAACAGCCTATTTTGTATTAAAACAGGTGTCACAAGCCCAGCTGACTACAGTACCTCTGCACCACTCAGTACTCCAGGTAGATTGACTTATGACCTCCAGTGTTTAAAAATGCATGTATATGATGTGTGTGTATGTATCTGTGTGTGTGTGTGTGTGTGTGTGTGTGTATTTCATTTTAAAATTTAAATGTTCTGTAGATTATTGATTTACTAGGACATGATATATTGTGTGTTTTCCATGTTGAATTGAACTTCTAAATGCTTCTCTTTATGTATGAAAGTTTAGATGACCAAATGTATATTTTAAAAAATTTCGTGAATAAGGTATATTAAATTATACTTTAAGGGAACCAAAATAAATATAATAAACTTCTCTTTTGTCATTTTAGATATATTATTTTTAAATGACTTTAAAAATAACTTGTATATATTATACTATATTACCTAAGGAAAGACAACTGTAGTAAAGATAAGTGACCTCAAGATACACAGTAAATTACACTGTGAAAAATATTTTATTGTTCTATCAAAATATTCATTTGTGTTATTGTTATTGCTGTTCTATTCTGCTTGCTTTTAAACCTTGCTCTAAAGTTTCATATAAATTTACTTGGTTACATAAAAGGGTGAATGCATTAAAAATAATCATGGGAAAGTTTCAAGATGTATGTATTTCCTCCTTTGATCAGGAGAATAAAGCTCTCTTCATATACAGATAATTGAATTATTAGTATTACACAGTAGACTATTTTAGTAAAATCTACCTTAGGCCTGTTTAGCTAGTGACTCTCAGTGAAAGTATGCTGGCAGAGTTCTGTTTTTGAAGTGGAAAATGTAGTTCTGTAAGGGATACAGCATACATTAGTAATTGTACATGACTCAGAATGAATAAGCTCATAATGATTCCTGAAAATACTATGGCTAATTTTTCAAAAAAATATGGATTTCAGAGATCATCATATATATGACTGTGGCAAATTATAGTTCTCACAAAGTCAAATTATATAATCAGGATAAAGAAATCCACTAATGGCTTTCAATATCAGCTTCTAAATTCCCATGTAGAAGCCCAAATATCTTGTATATTTAAAATCAACATATATCTTGAAATTGGAAATAATCTATGCATTGTGTTATATAGAAAAAGGATCCCATATTCCAGAAGCAACTCCAAAATACTCAGAAACAAATGCAATTATTGGTAAGTAAAAAGGACTTTGATTTCTACCCATATTATTATGTCCAAGCCAGCCAGTACCTAATAAGGTCACAAAGTAAACAATATTTGAAACTGGTTTTAAACATTTGCCCATTGTCTGTTTTATCATTTTATGTTTGAATGACATCACATTTGCACTGTCTTTCCTCAAAGATATACATATACACACATGCACATGACACATATACATGAACATATATAAACATGTATGCATATGTACATATACATAGAGAAACAATATTCTTTACACTTATTTACTTATTTGATAAATGGCAACCAACTCCTACAACATTAAAAAGTCTATTTCTACAAAAAGCAAAACAAGTAGGCAAACAGACAACTCCATATATACCTCCCCACAGTAGAGACAATTTCCCTTTCCCGTGGGAAACAACATGTTTTTGTTCATGTTTTATTTGACCAGAATATCAACCTTTGTATGTTCCCAAGGATTCAGGCAGTACTTTCAGTCTGCTTTTGCTGTCTGTGAGAAAGAAAAGTACTGATTTAAGGTGGTGGCTGGGAAAACAGAAACTTTCAGTGATGTTTTTTCTTGGTACATAAGCACTTAGAAGCCACATTAATAGTTCTAAACAATCATGAATATTCTACTCTAAATATTTTGTAGGTGAAGCTTCTACCTGGGGCAAAGGAGCATATAAAGCTTTCAATGGCCGCATCTTTTCCTTTGAGTCTTCCTGCACATACACTTTCTGCCGTCATTGTGTTGAATCTGGAGGAGATTTTAATATTGAGATCAAACGAAACAATAATAGTGACATTGAAAAAGTAATAGTTAAAATCGACAGTAATGATGTCACTATTTTTGGTGACATCATTCTAGTTAACGAAGAAAGGTAAATGTTACAGTGTTAATGGATAAATGCTATAACATGACTTAAAGTAACCTAAGCAAAAAGATGGAAGCCTGAGTGGCTCAGTTAGGCATCTGATTTCATTTCAGGTTATGATCTCTTGGTTTGTGAATTCAAGCCCCACACTGTGCTGACAGCTCAGAGCCTGGAGCCTGCTTCCTATTCTGTGTCTCCCTCTCTCTCTGCACCTCCCCCCCTCTCAAAAATAAATAAACATTAAAATTTTTTTAAAAATTAAAGTAACCTGAGAAAAAGAAAAAAGGTTGACTAGGGAAAAGATGGTACTCTTTTCTTATTTTGGTGCTCATATCTGTATTTATAATGAATTCTTAGACAGGAGTCAGACAGAACATTTTGTTAGTTGTGGGATTTTAAGATACTGTATTTATTCCTATAACAAGGTAGGGAGAAAAAGTAGTTTTGTTGTTTGACTATTTTGAGTACCTAGATTTGGGGCAACATGCATATTCAACATGTCTGTTAATAGAATATTTCAATTTTCATTTGTATATTTATCATTAAAAATAAGAGAATTTTCAATAGATTAAACTCAGGTCATTGTTTTTAGAAGTAGCAATTTAAATTTGGAAGGGGTGTCATATTTGAATTTTTTCCAGGATAAGAAGTTGAGACATGATACCCTGCTTGTGAACATTTCAAATTATTTGATCATTTATTCCTTTCACTGAACCAGTTTCTTCTTTTTTATTTCTCCAAAGCTCAAAGATTTATTCATTGTTCTTTAAAAGTCTTTCAAAAATTGGATAAAACTTCTGTGTATCTTCTGAAAATATAGGAAAAAGAAAGCTTTAATATTTGTTAGCCAGTATTATATTTATGATGCTAAATATAGAACTTGAATTATTAGAAAAACATAATACTATTCCTAGCCTTATGTGTACTTGTGCTTTAAACTTTTCAGTGTACAGATACCATATAACAATAAATTGATACACATTAAAAAATATGGAGAACATAATGTCCTGAATAGCCGTAGAGGAATCATGTCTTTAATGTGGGACAAAAATAACAAACTCTCAGTAAGTCTCTCTCTGATTTTCTTACATTCTTGGGCCTTTTGTTCTTTGCTTTAAGTTATAAAAACAATACTTTATAAGGAAAATAAGAGCTAACGTTTACTGAGAAATCATTATTCACTGTGCTAAGCATGATTTTATTTAATATTTAAAATACATTGAAGTACATACTATTATTAATCTTATTTTATAGGTGATGGAACTCAGGAAATTCAGGCTAATAAAAGTTAAATAATCTGCCCAAAGACACACAGTAAGAGGTGGAGTCAGGAACTTTCCAACTTAGAGATCCTGGTCCTTTACAAAAGGTCCTATAGTACATCCCTAAGTAACCAGCTTAGATAAAATTGAACATGAACAGACGCTGTCCTTTGGTTTGGGTAAATTTTGTTTTGAGGTATTTTCAATGTTTTATAAACATGTACATGTGATTTTTTTTTTTTTTAAAGCTTACTCTTCACAAGCAGTATCCAACTTGTGGTCTCTGTGGTGACTTCAACAGCACACCAGGTAAGATTTCAATGCATTAGGTCTACAAAAATTGCTTCCCGAAAGAAAATTATAAAATAATTGCTCATATTTGGATAAATTTAACAAAAATTTGCTTTTGTCTAAAGAATAAGAAGCCATTAAAACAAAATTTATGTTGTCAATTTAGCTATATTTAGCTTGAAAATAATATGTATATATGTAATGAATCTCTTGAACTAAGCATTGTTTTTGTTTTCAGGAGACGATGTCAATGAACACATTGCTAATAGTAAAATTCCTGGCGATTGTCCCAAAGCTGTTAGTAAAAGCTATGATTTTTGTGAAGATGGCGTGCAGGTAAGAGATTTATATCTTACCTACTAGCAAATTTCATTGCTGTCCCCCTTGGTTTCAATTTAGATACCCAGCATCCTCTTCTAAGCACTCAGAATTGTGCAACTACTTTTTCTCCAATGTCCTGGTAGTCGGCTTCTCAGCTTTAGTGTAGCTGTAGATGTTAAAATAGGTTTTTTCCTAAAATGTTATGATATTTACTATATATCAGTGTAACAATTCTGATTTTCTTTGCACAGGGTTTTAATTTGTCTGCAAGCTGACATGCTTCACCTCTCCATTAAGTCTGCTGATGGAGACTGACCGTCTCTTCTGATTTGGAAACACATGTCCTGTGTCCCTAAGAACTATTTTCTGCTCTCCCTTACCTTTGCCCGAGATAGCCAATCTAAATTGTCATCCTTTGTATACTTTGCTTTCTTTTTGAAAGAGTTATGTATATTTTGACTACAATACTTGAAAATAGCCCTCTCTGAATTTTCTGTACTTTTGTAGTTCTGTTACATTGAATTTGAAAGGGTGTATCTATCTATCTATCATCTATTTGTTAGAGAGAGCACATGTGTGCACACATGTGCATATTCTTGAGTGGGAGAGGGCAGAAGGAGAGGAGAGAGAGAATCTTAAGCAGGCTCCACACCCAATGTGAAGCCGGATGACATGGGGCTCCATCTCACAAATGTGAGATCATAACCTGGGCTGAAATCAAGAGTCAGACATTTAACTGGCTGAGCCACCCAGGTGTCCCCTGTTGTTATTATTGTTGTTGGGTCATTGTTTTGGATAGGTGGTGTTTATTTTAGGACTGAATAAATATTTACATATTCCTGTTTCAATATAGAACAAAATTCTCCAGATCAAGATGTATGGATAGAAGAGACTTTTTATTTTCTTGACAACGGATGTTGCATTTATAACCATCTTGTCACCTTCTAGCAAAGCAAATTAGGCCACGACATTCTATATCATCTGCTGTCTTCCTTGTGGAGCCTTCTTTGGTTTTCACAGTTAGAATTGCCTTCTCTTTCCTCTATTACCCTATGCCTTAATACTTAGGATTACGATACAATCCACAAAAATTTCCCATGTTTTTTCATATATTCCCTGTAAGATTATGCATTCTATGATGACAAGAAGTATATTTTATCTGTTGTGGTAGTTGCATAGTATGTGAAAATTTACCTCTGGTTGCTCAAAAATGTCCGTTCAATGAATATATAAATTTATATTAAAGCTAATGCAGAGGCTCCTGGTGGCTCAGTTGGTTAAGCCTCCAATGCTTGGTTTTAGCTCAGGTCATGATCTCATGGTTCATGAGATTGAGCCTTCTCCCTTTCTCTCTGCCCTTCTCCCACTCATGCTGTCTCTATGTCTCTCAAAAATAAATACACATTAAGAAGCTAATGCATATTTAGTAAGAACCTACTACAAGCAAGATATTGTGGTAAATCAAGAGAATACAAAGTTCTATTTTTTACTCTAAAGAAACCTGTAATCTAGTGATAAAATTACACAAAAATAATTAGTGAAAAAGCAATCTTTGAAGATTTCAGTTCCCTTAGTATTATACCTAAACTGGAGAATGTTATCACTTGTCTTAGGGCTTAATTGGTACAAATTAGACATTTGCTTAATGGTGGTTTTTATATTTCTCTATGACAAACATGTTAAAATAGAAAACAGCTATGTGGTAGTTAAAATATGTAGAAATTTGAACATTTTGGGGTTCAATAAATATGTTTACCTTCTTAATCAACATGAGAACAAATATGTTGTCTCTGGTCCCAACTCACATGGCCCCCATCGAGAAAGCACACATTCACTCTGTTTTACTTCCATGTTTGCTTGTCAAATATAAGACGACTAATCAATAAAGGGCCAGTGTCCCTTCTGTCTATTGTGGTATCAGTCATTTACCATCCCACTCTCTGGCATTAACAAAGTACCTTTTTTCAAACTTCCATTTTCTCAAGTTGTAAACTTTATGTCTCCTTTAGAGAAATTTTGGTTGAGTGTAGGTACAACCATTTTTGAAGTTGTTATACAACAATCCAAAATGCCAGAAGTGAAGTATTCTTTTAGGAGCCACTGTACCAAGTACAATACTTCAGAACTCTTCATTTCATCCAGCATTCAGCACCTCTTCCTTCCAAAGCTACAGGTTATTATGCAGAATCAAACATGCCTGAATTTATCTTTTCCTAACTGTGTATTTGATTGTCCGTTCTTCTTATATTTCAATAAAACTTCATGCCTTATTTTGTAGCACTGTGACAAAATTATTGGAACTTACTTCGAGAAATGTAGAAAGGTCACCACATTATCCAGTGACTACAGAATGATCTGTATTGATGAGTACTGTCAAAACAGAGACAAAAATTCTACGTGTGACACTTATGCAGAACTGTCCCGCCTCTGTGCCTCAGATGGCCCTGGTACCTATATATCCTGGCGAGATGATTCTGATGTGGTTTGTGGTAGGTTTTAAATTTTACTTCAGATTCCAAGCCAGAAAGTTTCTATAGCACTTTAAAATTGAGCTATATTTCAAAGTAATCTTTTCAAATGACTGTAAGCCCTGAAGGGGATCTTAGAGATGTTAGAGTCTTATCTCCCACAAGTACTCCTGAGAAAACTGAGGCCTATTTTGGTGAAGTGAGTTGCCATAAGTTGTACTGCTTTGTGTTAAGATCTCAGTTAGAAAATTTATAATCTTTAGAATTAGTAAAAGTTACTGGGAAGAGTGAGAAATTCTGTAACAATTGAAAAAAGTTAACTGGAAAAGCTCTCAAAAGTATATTGATTAGTACTATGATTTCCTTTAAAAATTTAATGAAGTATAGAGATAAGTTTCACACAAATATAAATATACTTTCAACCTATGTTTAGCTAAATCCTTGTAAGTTAAAATATGAGTAGAATATCATTTTCAAAGTAAGATGCAATGATATATGTAAGTATGTTTCCTCCTAAGTTTTGTCTCAGTTTTTTTATCTTTTCTCTAAATTAAATGTCGTATCATAAAATAACGCATGAGAAATTAGCACAATTTCATTGTGCTGAGTATTTTTAAAGACTGATTCATAGCTTGAAAATTAGACTCAAAGAATCCCATTTGAAAAGATCCCCATTAAAGTATTGAGTATTTATCACATTCAACTCCCTCTTATTTCCATGTATACCTATTTCTGTATTTCTCCAGAAAAACCTAGATGCCCAGAAAAACATATCTACAAAGAATGTGGTCCCTCAAACCCTGCAACTTGTTCTAATGTGGCTCCTTTTCAAGACAGTGAATGCGTGAGTGGCTGCACCTGCCCAGAAGGTAATACACCCTGTGAGAGTGTTTCGCTAAAACAACTGAAAACACTGATTCTAGTATGGTGTTCTTATTTCTAACTAGATATTTAATGAAATCATCTATTCATAATCTGTCCTAGAAAACTGCAGAAGAGTGAAAGAGACTTACAAAGTTAACTTGCATGTCTTTCTCTATGGTACCTGAGGGCCATGGTGCTCCACAGATCATGCTCTAGTCCTATATTGGGCTCAGTAGAAATACTCAATGGCTCAGGAAATTATACTCTTGTCAGTTCTTAAGCTTGGAGTCATTGCTTAAATGGAACTTATCATTTCAATTGCATGTTTACACTTGAAGGAACTAGCTCAGGGGCGCCTTGGTGGCTCAGTCAGTTAAGTGTCAGACCTGAGTTATGGCTCAGGTCATAATCCCACGGTTCGTGGGTTCGAACCCTGCGTTAAGGTCTGTGCTGACAGCTCAGAGCCTGGAGCCTGCTTCAGATTCTGTGTCTCCTTCTCCCTCTGTCCCTCCCCCGCTCATGCTCTGTCTCTCCCTCTCTCAACAATAAGCACTTAAAAATTTTATTAAAAAAAAAAGAACTAGCACAAGAGTGATTTCACAATTCACCATTTTAGGATTTACTGATGTTTATATAATTCTGAGATGATATAATGTATTTATTTCAGGTTATCTATTGGATGATATTGGAGAAAAAGGGAGATGCATATTAAAGGCTAAATGTCCCTGTGAATCAAATGGAAAGATCTATCAGCCAGGAGAAGTCCGAGAAGGTCCTTGTGGTTCTCAGTGGTATGTGCATGCTTTTCACCCACATTTTATTAATAGTAAAATAATACTAAAGTTTAATCAACTTGAAATAATTCCTAAGTACACCCATAAAATAAACTTTCCAGAAATAAAAAGCAACCTCACTGCATTTTCTGTGTTCATATTTGCCTTTTACTTTTTAAGGACAGTTTAGTGTGTTTTTTAAATAAAATGTATAGGCTTTCTATGTATCTTTAAAAAGTAATGCTTTTCACTAAATGAAATAGTGTTTCAAATAGTAAGCCAATTGGTGGCTGCAAATATAGAGCAAAGAATAATACTAGAGTATGGTTACAACAATGAAACAAAAATTGTGCTAAATGCAAGAATATTAAGTAAAATGTATAATCAGAAATAATCCAATACTTTTCAAATAATTTTTGTGAGGCTACATTGGTGAAGGTATATTTAATCCTTATATATTTTTACTTATATATTATATATTTATAATCTATATGGAGATGTTTAATGAGTGAATTTTAATGTGCCAAAAATTAGTGTAGACTATTTGAGTTCAGCAACAATATGTTGATCAAAGAGAGTTCCCCATTCCTCATTACAGCTTTTCTCTGAAACTCCAAATTTCTGCAGAACTCCAGAGGACTATTCTAGAAATGTATTGTGTCCTTGTAGGGAAATAATCTGACTCAAGAAAGCTAATCTATTATTGATATTATAATATATTCTTTATAAATGAGAACTGTTCCTGTTAGTGTGGTAATAATTCATCAGTAATGATTGTGTATAACAACAGCTATGATTTATTGAATATCTATGCAGTGCTATCCAGGAGAAATACCATGTGAGTCACAAATATGACCCACATATATAATTTAATACTTCTTAGTTGGCGCATTTTTAAAAAGCAAAAAGAAAGAAGTAGAATTGATTTTAATTATGTATTTTATATATCCGAAATACAGTATTATCATTTTACAGTGAAATTAGTATACAAAGTTAATGAGAAATTTTATGATCTCTTTTTGAGATTAAGTCTCAGAAGTCTGTGTGTATTTTACATTTATAGCAGATCTCTATCTGAACTAGTCACTTTCAAGTAATCAATAGCTATATGTGTCCATGCTGTATTGAACAGTGTAGGTCTACAGTGTGACATTTAGCAGGTGTTTTAGTACTAATAGTGAAATGTGTTCCATTTAAACAAGTCCCTGGAATCCAGTTTAAAAGTTTTTACATTTAATTCAGGCAGAAGCTATTATTTTGGTCCATGGAATTCAAAGCTTTAAAAAAAACACACACAGGATGCCACCATCAAGGAGACATTTGATCAGAATTAAGATGTTGAGTGTGAAATAAAGGTAGTCTAATAGGGGCTCCTGGCTGGCTCTGTCAGTAGGCATGTGACTCTTGATCTTCGGGTCATGAGTTCGAGATCCATGCTGGGTATAAAGATAACTTAAGTAAATGTCTTAGTTTAAGTTTTGATTTTTAGTTTTGGAATATTTATTTTGACCATAAAGAAAACACAGCTGATGACCTTTAATGTAATGATTGCATTTTACCAGCACATGCCAAGAAGCAAAGTGGTCTTGCACTGAAGCATTATGTCCTGGAAGATGTAAGGTGGAAGGAAGTTCAGTCACCACCTTTGATGGTGTTAAATACAACCATCCTGGAAACTGTCACTTCTTGGCCATCCACGTATGTAATAGCCTGAACCACTTGAGGAAACTGATGCACTTGCCAAACTATTTTCAACCACTTTAAAACACAGTCTTTACTTTAAGTTACTATTAAAAATAAATAACAAGCAGCCCTTCAATTGTTGGTTACATATTTCAGTATCTGTTTTCTGTCACATACTGACATTGACTATCAGTATTACCTGCATTCCTTAGAAATTCCTTGCTAAAGAAACCAACAAACCCTAAAATTCCCTTTATCACTAATAGTTTTCTAAGTACACTGGGAAAATATTTCCTTCTACTTTTCTTTGCATGTTTTCCCTAGTGCCTCAATTGAAACTACCTTTTATGTTCCATGAAACATCTTCCTTTTTCATCAGTACCCCTTTACATTTATGTTTAGCTCTTATAATACAATATCACCAGTATGATAGAAGCTATCCTAACTTTTAAATTCTTTTCAGTTCTAAAATTTATGTAATCTGAATTTCAATAAGAGGGGGATTCCAGACTGTGCTTGTGCCTTTAGCCAGCCTGAAAATATAATTTTGTTTAATCTTTTGCTAAGGAACCATATACGTAGAATTTGTGGCTCCTAAAGTGAGAGGGATGGTTCAAGTCCAGTAATCTAAAAATGCTGTCACTGCTACTAAAAGATCATTTTCCAAATCTTTCCTTTCATTTATGCTCTTCACATAATCCATGAGGGTGGGGGTAGGCAAACTGAAAGGGAAATAATGCCAGAATAGGTGGAATATTTGCTTCTCCTGTATTAGATTCCTAGATCATGCAATGAGAAGTGGAAGTCAATGTTTGACATGACTTATATTATGGCTTTACAATTTAAATACCTTTCACGTTGGGTTTAAACAGATGTTGTGGATTGTCCAGAGAACAAACAAACTATGTCATCTTTAATCCCTATTTGTCTCTGCAGTACAGCACAGTCCCTTGGAAGAGAAGAAACAAGTATAGATAAATCAAAAAATGAGGGTTATGAAAACCCACCAATCAGACTATACAGATACTGTTTATGGAAGATACTTGGACCTTCTGTAAGGTGGCCATTTCTAGACTTACCATGGGCTGAACAAGGTTTTACTTTTAGAGCAGACTGATTATATGTAGAAATTGTACATATTTTAAATACAAACATCCATTGTGAATGAATCACACAGTAATAGCATATAATCAAAGACATTTTAATAACTATATCAATGAAATGAATTTTTTTAACAGGATAAAGATTGGTCTATCAGCGTTGAACTTCATCCCTGTCCAAGTGGTCAGTCAGGAACGTGCTTAAATAGTGTTACACTCCTCTTGAATTCGGTGAGTAGTCAGCTTCCTAAAGTTTATCTAGAGGAAAATCAAATCAGTTACTTCACAAATTCAGAAATTTTGTGGTAGAAGAGAGGCTTTAATGTGTAAATTGAAATCACAAATGATATTGTATGGAAAATTGATAATGTTCCTGGAAGAGGTAGATAATTCTAAGGATCCTTAAGTTATACACACAACTAATGTGCTAATTACAGATCAACCTATGTGCTTATTTAATTATTAAACTCTGTGGGCCATTTAAAAAGGCAATTATATTTGTTTAGAATTTCATGTATTTGGAACTGACATTGTAAATGGAAATAGACCTAATTGGGGAGGGAGGACATTGACACTCGCCTTTGGTACTTAGAAGACTTTTGACATTTGGAAATATAAGTTACCTTCTTGAGTTTCCGTTTCCTCATCTACAAACTGGGGATGGTGATTTCTTTACAATCCTTTTCAAATAATTGTTATAAAAAACAATGAAACAACATATGAGGAGTGGTTAAAAAATGTTTTATATCTTAGATACTTAAAATTAATTTAAGGGGTGCCTGGGTGGCTCAGTCGGTTCAGCATCCAACTTCGGCTCAGGTCATGATCTCACAGTTCATGGGCTCAAGCCCCACATCAGCTCTGTGCTGAGAACTCAGAGTCTGGAGCCTGCTTCTGATTCTATTTCTCCCTCTCTCTCTCTTGGCCCCTTTCCCATTAGCACTCTGTATCTCTCTGTCTGTCAAAAATGAATGAAAACATTTAAAAAGTTTTAAAACATTAAATTAATCCAATTAAACATTTCGTGGCATAAAAATGTAGGTTCATATATTCCATTAAAATGAAGTAATATTACAAATTAATATGAGCTAACAATTTTTTAAAATCCTAGTCTGTTTCAGTTGACAAATATATATTCAACAGAGATGGAACAGTCACAAATGATAAGATTAGAGATCAAGGTCATTACTATTCAGGTAAGTTTAATAAAGCCACTTTAAAAGAAGTGTAAAATACATTCATTTATTCAATTTTTAAGGACATTATATGTGTATTTTTAACACATATAAAAGTATAAAACCATTTTAATAAACTAAAATTGTTCAATATTTAAATTACTACTGTTAATGTCAGTAATTATTTTAACAGACAAAATGCAGATCTTCAAAGCATCTTCCTCATACCTTCAAGTAGAAACAAACTTTCACGTAAAAATGCAGATACAGATTGTTCCTGTGATGCAATTATACGTTTCCATGCCACCCAACCAATTCACAGACACTGTAGGTAAGTCCTCTGGATAGGTTTTCGTTTCCAAGGCTCTAGTGTTACCATCACTTATTTTAATTTTCAGTTGTTTCTCAATTAATGACATTAGGCCATGAAGCATTTTTACTTAATCTTCCCTTCAATATTGCAATAAAACAGTTTCAACTTACAGTAAAGACAGTTTTATTTATTACAGAACCTATTCCTAAATGGTTTTCCACGAGTTTAAGGTGTTTAAATTAAGGCTTTTTAAAGTTGGGTTTGATACTATAGGCTATATATCACTTTGCTAAGATAGATTATGAGAGCCCTTGCCTGTAGAAAAACATGAAAATATTATACATAGAAATCTTTTGAAAATCAAGTTTCAAATACAAACTACATTACAGCTTGTCTTTCTACTGGTGGATCACATGGTCATATGTTTCACTCCTGTTTTCTGTCACAGAAATCAACTCTTCGTACTGTCACAGATGTCAAATAAAACAAAACAGTGGCAAATCCCACAGATTCTAATTGCAAAAGTCTAAGCTTTTGCACCAGGTCTTTACTTGAAAAGGTGACTTACACATAGGGGAGAAGTGTAATTCATGGGTCAGAAAAGAAGCTCCAGATAAAAAGCATATAGCCCTTAACATGAATCAAGTCTCCACACTACGATTGAAAATGTGCAGTCCCAAACATCCTACTTGTAAGCATGCTTCCCACCACCTTGTCACAGGAGTTTAACTTACAGCAACAAACAAGAAACACACAATATTTATGGCAAATAGTGTTTTGGTGCTCCTGGAATTTGAATAAAGTGGGATATTAATCTGAAGTGTCATGAATTTTGCTTATATGTATAAAGACTAACCAAGATGCTCATGTGGCTTTTATGTGTTTTGATTTGAGTGAAGAACTGAATATGAGGTGAGAATATGAGTCCAAAGAGCTGAGGTGAGGAAATGTTAAATTTTGTTCTGTACTCTATACAGGACTCTGTGGTTCCTATAACAACAGAGCAGAGGATGATTTCATGTCAAGTCAGAATATATTGGAGAAAACATCTCAGGCATTTGCTGATTCTTGGGAAATGATGCCCTGTCCTAAAGGAAACCCCACTTCGTGTATCAGTATAGAAAAAGGTATTGGTAATTGAATGTCAAACTCTGTCAATAAATATTCAGTATTAGGAATTGTACACTTATTCTGCTAATAGTATGACACTCTCAAGATAATCCTGTTTTTAGCGAGTGCTTGATTTACTGTCCCTGTTTTACAGAGAACAGCAGAGAAACAGTCTGGCTGGCTGAGGGCACAACTAGAAAACGCATCTTTCACTGTGGAGGGGGATCAACATATATGTCTTTTTCTATACCATTCTTTTCCTCCTTCCACAGTTTTCTCCATAGCTATAGAATAGTAGGGTGAGAGGAAATTTCACAGATCATTTAGTTTATTATTCTTACCCTTTATTTTAGGCATAGAAATAATCATTGGTTGAAATAACAAGACTCCCCCAAACTGCTCAGCTACTCAACAATAGAGATGTAGCTAGATTCACGTCTCCTGACTATTGCTATCATGCATGTTAATTTTACTAACCCCCAAAAACAAATATTACAAGGAAACCTTTACACCTGTATGATTCATCTCATGTTTTAGCTTACCAAAGATTTCCGTAAATATTGGTTCAATTTATTCCCACAAACACTCATGAAGAGCATGGACGAAGTTATTGTCTCCATTAAGGTCAATGTTGATAATGGAGCCCAGATCGAGTGTAGTTAATAAGAGTAAAAGATGAAGCTGTAACCCAAGTATTTTATTTTTATTAATTTACGTAAAACATTTTTATGGAACTATAGTTGACATACAATGTTACATTCATTTCAGGTATATAGCATTGTGATTCTACGAGTCTGTACAATATGTCATGCTTACCACAGTGTAGCTACCATCTGTCACCATACTGTGTCATTACAATACAACTGATTATATCTCTTATACTGTACCTTTTATCCCTGTGACTATGCATTCCATAACTAGAAGTCTGTATCTCCCATTCCTCTTCACCCATTTTGCCCATCCCTCAACCCCTCCCTCTCTAGCAACCATCAGTTTGTTCTCTCTTTATTTATGGGTCTGTTTCTGATAATCCAAGTATGTTGAATCTAAGCCTTGCTTTGATTGTGCCCATACTTCGTATTGTTGGTTTTAGTAAACACATTATGTTACTTCTTTCATAAAATATGGAATTCAATGTAAAGTAAGTTAAAATATATTGTTTATATGTTTACGAGTTATTTCTACCTCTGCATATTTGAAGCAAATGTCTGATCAGCTTTTGACAATATTTAAAAATTAAACAGCAGTTTCTTTTGAAAGTTTATCTACTTGTTTTGTCACATGAAAGAGTTGATAGAGGCATTAACATCCACATGATAGTATGTATTTCAAGATCCAGTTGTCATGTTATTTTGTTTTGCTGGTGTTGCAATGAAAATAATTAAAATGAGAATAAGTAAAAACAAATGTATATCTCATAAGACTCCAAGCCAATTTATGTTAAGGAGACTATATTAACACCTTCGAGACCTATTTAAATTAGCTATTTCCATTTTCAATGTTTTATATTTAACTTAATAAAATAAAATACAGAAAATTAAACTATGCTTTAATAAGCTGTTAGTAATATTTACATGGTGATACCAAATTACAAGTTTGTCAAAATTTAAGAAATAATTGGCCTGATGTCCTTTTACTTTTTTAAATTTATTTTTTAAATGTTTCTTTATTTTTGAGAGAGAGAGCACAAGCAGGGGAGAGGTAGAGAAAGAGAGGGAGATGGAGAATCCAACACTGGCTCCAGATTCAAAATCACAAATCATGAGATCGTGACCTGAGTCAAAGTCAGACGCTTAATTGACTGAGCCACCCAGGTACACTTAGAAATAATTGGCCTCAATATCCTTTTAATAGATTTAGTCAGCTTACTTTATTGCTTCCTGGTGACAGTAACTTTTAAAAGCCAACTGAAAGATGGTTAAAAAATTAGCAATCCAGGGCACCTGGGTGGTTCAGTTGGGTAAGTGTCTGACTTCAGCTCAGGTAGTGATCTCACCCTCTGTGAGTTTGAGCCCTACATCAGGCTCTGTGCTGACAGCTCAGAACCTGGATCCTGCTGCAGATTCTATGTCTCTCCCTCTCTTTGCCCCTCCCCACTTCATGCTCTGTCTCTGAAAAATAAACCTTAAAAAATTTTTTAAAAAATATTAGCAATCCTTGTTCTAGTCACTGGCATCATGTTTAAGTATTTGCTAATCTTTGAGCAAAGCATTTGTTACTCAGACGTTATTTTTGTGAATTTTGTTTTCTATTAATTTAATACAAGAAGTTATTTACAAGGCAACCAAATATCAGTTCTGCCTTTAAAAAATAAAATTAGTTTTTTGAGTCACTGATACTGGTTGTTCTAAAACTGACATGATTATTGTGGCAACAAGGACGAGGTGGTGCCAGTGTTTGATGGTTTCATTTATCCATTCACTATGATTTCAACTTAAAAATATATTTTAAATTAGAAGTTACCTGAATAAACAATCTGGTTCCCTTAGTCTCATTTTTTTTTTCAGTAGAAACTGCACTTTGCAAACAGGTCAACTGATTTAATACAAATGTCTTAAGCTAATAAAGATTTTTCCACTATTTCCAGTTATATAATAAGTAAGTCATTGGGTTGAAAGGAATATCATAGGGAATATAGTCAATGGTATTGGAATAGCACCGCATGGTGACAGGCGGTAACCACACTTGTGAACACAGCCTAATGTACAGATTTGTCTAGTCCCTATGTTGTACACCTAAAACTAGTGTAATATTGTGTGTAGACTATACTTCAATTTTAAAAAAGAAAGATTTTACCTCTTTGTTAAAGGTGTTTCTGGTTGTATCATGCTATTTTTGTATATATTGATAATCAATTAGATATGTTCTAGCAAAAATACTTTATTTTTTAACTTTTAAAAGTTTATTTATTTATTTTGTGGTGGCTGGGGGGTGGGGAGAGGCAAGGGGCAGAGAGTAAGGGTGAGAGAGAATCCCAAGCAGGCTCCATGCTCTGCGCAGAGCCTGATATGAGGCTCTATCTTAAGGACACTGACATTATGCCCTGAGGCAAAATCAGGAGTTAAACCCTTAACCACCTGAGTCACACAGGTGCCCTGAAAAAACACTTTAAAAAACACAATCACACTTTTTCAATTAAAAATTATGACTTATTGATACTAATTTTTAATGCATTAATTTTTCTTCCAGAAAAATATGCTGAAAAGCACTGTGGAATTCTTCTTGATTCAAGTGGGCCTTTTGCTTCCTGCCATGCAATTGTCAACCCTAAACCATATCATGAGGTATGTGAGGGTCTAAGATTAACAGCTCTTTTTCAAAATATTCAGATAATATCAGTAGAAACCTATAGACATTAAAATTTCCAAATAATGGGCATTGTCAGTACATTAAGACATAGTTTTAAATTTAACATTATTCAGTTGTTAGATACACTAATTTAAAAAATAGTACTGGCAAATAACCTGGAATGAGAAAAGTCATATTTTTTAGTGGTTATTTATTTTTTTGAGAGATAGAGACAGAGACAGAGTGGGAACTGGGGAGTGGCAGAAAGAGACAGGGAAACAAGCTATGAGCTGTCAGCACAGAGCCAGACATGGGGCTAGAACCCATGAACCATGAGCTCATGACCTGAGCCAAAGTTGGACACTTAACCGACTGGGCCATCCAGGCACCCCTGGAATGAGAAAAGTCTTGAATAAGTTCCTCTTTCTGACTTTTCCAAGTTCCTGGAAAACTTAGTTAATAATTGATTTGCTATTTTGCATATTTTGGAAAGAAATATTCCCCAAGTTTCAAGACAGATTGTTTGCAAGGAAGAGGAGTGGTTATAAACTGGATTAAGATACCCAGTTTACCTGTTCTTGTAAATATTTTCATAACGTAATATACATTTTTTTCTTAAAGGAATGCAAAAAATACACTTGCACTTGTGAAAGCAGTGAAGATTGTTTGTGCACGATTTTAGGCAACTATGTGAAAGCGTGTGCTGAGAAACAAACATACATAGTGGAATGGAGAAATGGACTATGTGGTAAGCAGGACAGGGGCTTTAGATAACTCCCTTCTCACTTTTACTATAGTGTGTGTGTGTGTGTGTGTGTGTGTGTGTGCCCGTACGTGTCTACATCTATAATTTAGAAACATGTATTTACAAACTTGTACTTGGTTCTTTCAAAGATGATTTCCTATTTTTAAAAAAAATATATTTGAGTTATCCATGCATTTTTACTTCTTGATTTTTTTATCTTGATTTAAAAGATTTATATTTAAATAAGAACAGAATATATATGTCTTTATATATTAACATGGGTTTCTGTTTAGTATATGCTGGAATTTAATATTCCAACTCCTACTACATTTTAAAATGTTAAAGATTAGTAAAATTTTTAACAAAACAAAAATGAATAAATTAGGAGTTCAACTATCATACTTATTGAATTCTTCTTTGTTTTAAAATATTTGTTGTAGTATTTGAATATGACTTCAGAAAAATACTTAGCTTACCAAAAAAAAACTTTATAGAAATACATGTCTTATAGATCATACTTAATACTTCATAGCTCATTTCCAATCAATACGGTCTGTCAAGTTCACCTCTGGAATTTCTCTCAAATACATTCACATCTCTCCATCTCTATGGCCACCTACGTCCTTCAAAAAAACCTCTTTTTTGGGGCACCTGGGTGGCTTCGTCGGTTAAGCGTCCGACTTTCGCTTAGGTCATGATCTCACGGTTCATGGGTTTGAGCCCTGCGTCGGGCTCTGTGCTGACTGCCAGCTCACAGCCTGGATCCTGTTTCAGAGTCTGTGTCTCCCTCTCTCTCTGACCCTCCCCTGCTCACGCTGTCTCTCTTTCTCTCTCCTAGAAATAAATAAAAATATTTAAAAAAAAACACCTCTTTTTTTTTCTCCTGGGTGATTTCATTTGCTTCCTTCAATATCCACTCTTCTACAAAGGAGTCAGTTTAATATTTAAACTAAAACCAAAAAAATCTAACCTGATCATATGATATTCCAGTCTAAAATAAATCAATGGGTTCTCATTGCTCTAAGGCTAAAGAGCAAACTGTTTAAGTTTTACTCACTGATTTTCGTCTCTGGGCTTACAGCTTCTATTCTTCTTGCTCTTTGAAAGTATTTCCTTTTCTTCTGCCTTAGGCTGTTCCCCAGACATAGAATTACCTTTCTCTAGGATGCTTTCATGCTCTACATGGACTGTAAATTCCCAGTTGTACATACTTAGAGCTTCCCATCTTGCTTCTTTATGGCATGTGCCACAATTGTCCTTTCCCCAGGAATGTAAGCCAGATGACAGCAGTGTATTTCCTATCTTGTTTATTGGCTTTATCCCCAGCAGAATGTGTAAACATATAGTAGGAACTCAGTATTGACTGAAAATTAAAAAAAGAAAAATACCAGTGAACAGCAAGCAACTTTTTCCTTGACTATTCATAACCTCAATTGTGAATAATTCACTACAATATCTATAAACATCAAGATGAAATAGAATTGCTGCTTTTCCTGGATGAATACATACGTACAATTTTTTATTCCTATACCAACAGATCACTCTTGTCCAAGTGGCCTGATTTTCAAGTACAGTGTAAAAGCCTGCAATAGTTCTTGTCGATCATTGTCAGAGAGAGATAGGAGCTGTGATGTAGAAGATGTTCCAGTTGATGGATGCGCTTGCCCTGATGGAATGTACCAGAATAATGAAGGGAATTGTGTTCCAAAATCTCAGTGTGACTGCTACCTAAATGACGAGGTCATGCAACCAGGCAAACTCATCCATATTGATGACAATAAATGGTATGAAGATTACATATATACTTGTTATGACTTCAAAATCAAGGGACTGTCCTTTTCAGAGAAACAGACTTTTCCTAAAGTCTTCTTTAGACCTGTCACATTTTTAATTTTGTTTTTTTTTTATTAAAGTTATTTGTTGCTCCCTTTAACATGATATGCTCACTGCATCATAATGGTACTAACTGATTTATTCTACTTTTGTTTGATTTCAAATATCAATATAAAAACATTCTACCAGGCCCTACATACAGGGGATGCAAAAATGATTTTATATTCAAACAATGCTCTCTGGTTGTCTCTCAGTGTTCACCATTCAGCAAACACTTATTAAATAGATATTTGACATGTGCCAGGCCTGTGCTGATGGCTAGTATTACAAAGATGAGTGAACATTGCATTGGTCTCAGAGAATGAGCAGGGTCCTGACTATTGCAATGTTTATATACTATAATATGGTAGCAGAAAGGGCCAGTTAGTTTGAGCAGATAAGGAGAACTTTTCAGAGGAGACCAGCACTTCAGTTTTCCCAGGATTTGAAACTTTTTCCAGACAAAATTGGTGTGGGAAGAGAGATTTCCAGTAGAGTAAACAGCGCGCAGTAACAGGAAATGCTTGAGGAGTTTTGCACATGTAGGTTCTTGTGGCATAGGATCAGGCTGGAAAAGTAGACAGTGGCCAGGCTGTATTCAAGAATTTGAACTTAGTTCCTGGACAGTAGGGGAAGTTGAAGAATTGTGACTTTTTGTAATGGTTAAAGAGATTGTGATTCTGCAGTTTTGGGCAAAGTAATTTATCTGTATCTTTAATTCCATAAGCAGAGGTAGCAATTCTTAACAATGTAACTGCAAAAATGAAGTAGCCATTCCTAAAGATTTTGGATGCACCTTCTCTCTTTTCTTTGGTTCCATGAAACTATTATTTAGAAATGAATGATTTTTCTTGGCCATTTGAAAGGAAAGCATAGGTAAATTCCTCTTTCTATCACAGCATACAAAACATTTGTTTGGGGTTTGATCATGATTCTTTCTCTGTAGATGTTGAGGAATCAGTAGATTGCCTTTTTAATGAAACCTAGGCTACTACCTCCAAATTATGGTTCCTTTTATCATTACCCTATTTCAGACCCCATCACTACTGTGATGCCTAAGCTGGCTGTTCTTTGCCCTGTCTCTCTGTCTTCTATTTCTTGTGATACCTCTATAATGACTAACTTAAAGCATTATTCTGATTGTGCCACTTATCTGCTCAGGAGCTTTAATGGGGACAGTTGCCTGAAGAATAGATGCGAACTTGAATGTCATTTAAGACCATCCAAAATCTGGCCCTGACTTGCTTTCTACCTCTTCTCCCTATCCTGCTTCCTGCCTTCTCTCCAAACAAGTCATTGGAACATACCTTGTTGTTTCCTATATCACAGCTTTGCATCTTATGAGCAGTAGCTGTTGAATCTAACTATCCATGAAGATCCAGCCATCATATTCGTGTTTTCTCTGATGTCCATAGAACCTTGCTTGTACAGTCCTATAATATGTGCAAGGCTATATGTTATAACTGGGTGCATGTCATTTCTGGGCACTGTGTCTCATCCATCTACTTAGATAAAACTTGTGAATGAGAGGTAAACATTGCTCTGACAGTGTATTAAGAAGCTGTCATTTGAAGTTTGATGGTTAAATATATAATTTTCTTCTATTTCCAGTGTCTGTCGGGATGGAATTCTTCTTTGCCAAACTCCCATTGATTTAACCCTACGTAAGTACTGAAATCATAATTTAAGCTTAAAATATCTACTTGGGTTAAACTAAGTAGATCAAGAGGCCCTTGAGTAACAACTTCCTTTATCCTGCAGAGAATTGTTCTGGAGGAGCTGAATTTGTTGACTGCAGGGACCCGAAGGCACAGAGAAGAGTTGATAGTACCTGTAGTACTCGGAACATACCTAGTTTTGATGTAAGAAACATGACTTTGCACTTTTAACTTTTTCAAACTTTCATCGTGTCAGGATAGAAGCAAACTAAAACATCAATTAAAAATAATTAAAAGGTCATATTTATTGTGTGTTATTTTGACTTGTCAAATGTTGACTCTTTTAAATGGATACTTGGTGGGGCGCCTGGGTGGCTCAGTCGGTTAAGCATCCAACTTTGGCTCAGGTCATGATCTCACAGTTTGTGGGTTCGAGCCCCGCGTCAGGTTCTGTGCTGACAGCTAGCTCAGAGCCTGGAGTCTGTTTCAGATTCTGTGTCTCCCTCTCTCTCTGACCCTCCCCTGCTCACGCTGTCTCTCTCTCTCTCCTCAGAAATAAATAAAACATTAAAAAATTTTTTTTAATGAATACTTGGTATATATTTCTATATTGTAAGTGGATACTGATAATGTGACATGTTATAGCAGTACCTTATGGTGTGTATTTTACATTTGTTCCTGTAGGAGAACTTGCCTTGCAAACGTGGGTGCTACTGTCCAATAGGCATGGTTCGAAATTCTGAAGGGAACTGTGTCTTTCCTGAAGACTGCCCATGCTCTTTTGGTGGACGGGAGTATGACCAGGGAAGTGTTACCGCGGTTGGCTGCAACAAATGGTGCATAATAAAAAATTACTACAGGGGCTCCTGGGTGGCTCAGTCTGTTAAACAGTGAACTCTTGGTTTTGGCTCAGGTCATGGTCTTGCATTTTGTGGGTTCAAGTTCCACATCGGGTTCCATGCTGACAGCATAGATAGAGTCTGCTTGGAATTATCTCTCTGACCCTCTCTCTTTGCCTCTCTCTCTCAAATAAATAAACTTTAAAATTAAAAATATTAAAAAATAAAGACCACTTTATATGTTTTGGATATTAGAAAGTACAGTCTGCTCTTATTTTTATAGGAAAGAAGTCATACTTTGGGATATGTGAAAAATAATGGTCAAATATAGTTAAAATGCTATTTTTAAATATAAACTATTTTTTAATTGAAGTATTATTGACATATAATATTATATTAGTTTTAGATATGCAACATAGTGATTCAACAATTGCATACATTATGGAGTGCTCACCACAATAAGTATAGTGATCATCTGTCCTCAAAGTTATCACAATATTATTGAGTGTATTCTGTAGGCTATACTTTTTGAAATAGAAACTTTATTTGGGATTTTATATGGTGAACATGATGTAATGAAGACAACTGCCATATTTAAATCGATATAAAACAAGGTTTTGTGCTTCTTTACAAAAACAGTATTGAGAATGTGAATCTTGGCATAATATAATTACTTAACTCTATCATTTTTTTTTCTTTTAGTACTTGCATAAAAGGATCTTGGAGCTGTACACACAATGAGTGTCAGACCACCTGCCACATCTATGGGGAAGGTCATGTTAGAACTTTTGATGGGAAAAGTTACAGCTTTGATGGTCTCTGCCAGTATTCATTTCTTGAGGTAATTACTAGTGTGTTTTATCACAATTTTTCTATACTTGATAATTATTATTTATTTAAAGATGAGCTCTGGAGAATTTTATTCTCAAAATGTGAAATTTAAACAAATAGCCTCGTAAGTGTTTCTCAAAGGCAATAAAATATAACAATATAATGCTGCCTTGGGAGGTAGTAGGTCTAGATTTCCATGTTGGCTCTACCATTTCTCTGATGTGTGACCTTGGACACATTCCTTAATCCCCCTGTGTCTCAGTTTCCTTGTCTATAAAATGGAGATGGAAACAGCCCCACTTGAAACCAAATTAGGGCAAATATTGGAGCACATACTAAGTGCTCAATAAATGCTAGATATTATTTTAACGACAGCACTATCAGCAATGACAGTTACCATTTTCTGAGTTCTTCTTTGCCAAAGCAAATTGATTACCTTTAATTATGACAATACTCAAAAGCTGATATTAATATTCCTCTGATGCGAATAAAGAAATTGAGGCTTAGAGAGGTTAAGTAACATGAACGAAGTAGAAAATGTTGTATTCAAACCCAGGATCTGTGTGATTCCAGAGTTCACACTTGTTACATGCTGCTACATTGCTTCCTAAGTAACATCTAATTTCCTAAAGTTTGGATTGTTTTGTATTTATGCATTGACTATCAAATTTCATAAAAATCACTGAGGGGAAATAAACACCTTTATCTAGCTATGTATAGAGCCCATGATTATAAACAATATTATATAATTTAAATATTTAATAAATGTGGTATAATTCTAAATTTTTATAGAACTAACAAAAAGGATCAAGTGAAAGGAGATTAACTAGGTTGGTCTCAGCCGGGGAGGGCTACCTCTCCATATATGCAGTTAAATTATTGTTTTCTGGACATTCCATAACACAGACACAGCTTCTGGTAACTTACTGAGTTTAAGGTATCACTGTCTAAGAAGTCTTTGTCTGATGCAAATATTTCAATTGAGTTCCACTTACCTGATATTTGTAAACTATTATTATAATTTACTTTTTAAAGGATTATTGTGGTCATGAAAATGGCACATTCCGTATCTTAACTGAAAGCGTCCCATGCTGTGAAAACGGGCTTACATGCTCAAGAAAAATCATAGTTGCTTTTCAGGTATGGCACTACTTCTCTTTATATATTTTTTCTCTCAGATTATTAGTGGCCAGATAAAACCAATGTTATTGTAAGTCTGTATTTTAATTTACAGGATCAGAATGTTGTTTTGCATGATGGTAAAGTAACAGCAGCCAAAACCACAGAAAGTAAGGAATGTGATATCAATAGAAATACATATTCTGTACATACCGTTGGCCTGTACTTGATTCTGAAATTTTTAAGTGGAATAACCATAATTTGGGACAAGAATACAAGAGTTTCTGTTATACTGGATCCACGCTGGAATGTATGTATATCACTAATAAGTGATTAATGGGGAAGCAAAATAATTTCTGTTTCTGAGAATTATAGACAGTTTATCAGTGGAAAGTGAGAGAGTGGTAGTTTCTGCCATAGACTAAGCCTTCCACATCTGTTCAACCTTACAATGAAATAAGAAATGTAATCAAAGATGACAGGACCTGGTTGGGGTGCCTGGTGGCTCAGTTGGTTAAGCGTCTGACTTCAGCTTCGGTCATGATCTCAGTTCATGGGTTTAAGCCCTGCATTGGGCTCTGTGCTGACAGCTCAGAGACTGGAGCCTGCTTCGTATTCTGTGTCTCCCTCTCTCTCTGGCCTCCCCCACTCATGCTCTGTCTCTCTCTGTCCCTTAAAAATGAATAAATGTTAAAAAAAAAAAAAGATGATAGAACCTGGTGAAAAATAAATGAAATAAACCTGAAGCATTCTAGTTTAACCATATTTGCTTACTTGAGATTATTGCATAATACAATTTTAAGGTAGCTGATGAATATATAGAATTAAATATATTGCTTAGAGCAAATATTCTATGAGTCTAAGAGTCTACTCATGTATGATTTGAAGCTAGTGAATATAATTACTTTTTAACAATTCTTAATGCATTTATCTTAGTTGATTCTAGATCATTTTGTGATATAGGATATCTTGGATTAAACAGTACCAGAATCTTATCCGTAGATTCTAATTTCCTTCTAAAATTTGGAATTTAAAATAGACTTATGGTAGTGGCACCTGGCTGACTTTGTCAGCAGAGCATGTTAACTCTTGATTTCAGGGTTGTGAATTTAAACCCCGTGTTGGATAGGGAACCTACTTAAAACAATAGGGGCGCCTGGGCGGTTCAGTTGGTTAGGCGTCTGACTCTTGATTTTGGCTCACATCATGATTTCAGGGTCATGAGACACACTGGGCTCTACGCTGAGTGTGGAGCCTACTTAAGATTCTCTGTCCCTCTCCCTGTGCCCCTCCCCCTCTCATATGTTCTCTCTTCAAAAATAAAAATAAAATAATAAAAAAGATAATAAATAAAATAGATGTATAATACTATATATAATCATAATATCTTTACCTATCTCTACATACCACTGTAGTGCAACTCACATTTTAATTTTCCTTTCTGATCTCATCTCTTGATAAATCTGTATCCCTAGTACAACCTACTTGTTAACTTCTCTTTTGGATCTCTACAGGGCAAAGTATGTGGTCTTTGTGGAAATAACAATGGTGATCTCAAGGATGATTTCACAACACGATATTCATCAGTAGCCACTGGAGCCCTGGAATTTGGAAATAGCTGGAAAACCAGTCAAGAATGTTCAGATACAGTAGCTCAAGCTTTCCCATGTGACTCAAACCCATACTGTAAGACCTGGGCTATGCGGAAATGTGAGATCATCCGGGACAGCACCTTCAGAGACTGCCACAACAAGGTAGTGTGGCTCTGAGAGCAGGGACCTGCACAGGCTTTGCTTCCAGAGACTCACATGCTGTGCTCTGCCTAGGTGGACCCCAGTGCCTACTACGATGCATGCGTTGAAGAAGCCTGTGCGTGTGACATGGAGGGGAAGTACCTGGGATTCTGCACAGCTGTGGCCATGTACGCAGAGGCGTGCAGTGCCGTTGGAGTCTGTGTCACGTGGAGAAAACCAGAGCTGTGCCGTAAGTGAAGTTCATGTGGTGGACATGGACATGTTTAATATGTTTGAAACATGTTAATATGTTTAGGATGGGAAAAATATCTATTTTTAAAAATACAGCACCTGGCACAGTACGTCAAATTCAGTTTTAGTTTCTGAAGTTCTTGTAACAGGGGAAAATTTATTTATTTTTCTTTGTTAAATAGTTTATTGTCAAGTTGGTTTCCATATAACACCCAGTGCTCATCCCAACAAGTGCCCTCCTCCGTGCCCATCACCCCCCTTCCTCTCTCCCCCACTCCCATCAGCCCTCAGTTTGTTCTCAGCATTCAAGAGTCTCTCNCCCATCAGCCCTCAGTTTGTTCTCAGCATTCAAGAGTCTCTCATGGTTTGCCTCCCTCCCTCTCCCGCACTATTTTTCCCCTTCTTCTCCCCCATGGTCCTCTGTTAACTTCCTCCTAATCCTCCTATATGTGAAAACATATGGTATCTGTCCTTCTCTGCCTGACTTATTTCACTCAGCATAACACCTTCTAGTTCCATCCATGTTGCTACACATGGCCAGATTTCATTCTTTCTCATTGCCATGTAGTATTCCATTGTATAGATATACCACATCTTCTTGATCCATTCATCAGTTGATGGACACTTAGGTTCTTTCCATGTTTTGGCTATTGTGGAGAGTGCTGCGGTGAACTTTGGGGTACATGTGCCCCTATGCATCAGCACTCCTAACAGGGGAAAATTTAAATACTGATGGAAAATATCTCTTATTCATACTTAGATGAACAATGAACTGTTTACTTGTCTTGATATAGCCATGTATTCTTAAACATTGACCTTGTCTACTTTGGGTAGAAGCCCTCACACATTATCTTAAAAAATTTATAAAATCCTAGTCAAGACAAACCATAAAATGAATATAAACTTAATCTTGATGTATATGGAATGTGATAAATTGAGTAGAAATCAGTCAACTCTTTCCCTTCTAATGGAAAGTATTACGAGAGAAAATATGACAGATGAGAAATACTGACATTGAATCCACGTTTTATTCTGTTTATTGTACAAAGTGTTATATTGAAATCTTTAGTTACCTCATTCAGGAACTGTTATTTACATATTAAAGAAGCCTCATTTTCCCAGAGATTTATTTCTGTAATTTAGGCTTGAACATTAAAACTGTGAAGCTAGAGTATGACCTAAAATATCTTCAAATGGGAAAATTAACATTTACTTTTCTACCCCAAAACAACTTTAGTGTGAGGTGTTAGAAGAAAGTGCTTTTTGATCCTTTATACTCCCCCTCCCTTTTTTGTGAGCTATTATGACTTTTCTGGTAATTTGGATAAAGCCAAAGGAACTTGAAAGACAGAATGATATACCCTAGGTCTGTTTATTTGTTAATATCATTCAAAAATGCTTTGGAAAGTGAAAGGTGAACATTGTCACATAAGAAATGGGAGTAATTTGATATGATTCAATTACAGCTGTCTACTGTGATTATTATAATGCCCCTGGGGAATGCAGTTGGCACTATGAACCTTGTGGTACAGTGACTGCAAAAACATGCAAAGATCGAGTTATTGGCCAGAAATTTTCTGCACTTTTAGAAGGTAAGGCAAATTTTAGTAATATCCATGAAGTAGTGCAAATTATATTGATACTTGAATACTGAAAAATGTTATTTCTACCAATTCAGAGTCTTATATTTTGTTGTTTATTTATTTTTGATGGGGATGTTTAGAGAGAGGGAGACAGAGAATCCCAAGCTGGCTCTGTATGGTTAGTGTAGAGCCTTACATAGGGCTCCATCTCATGTACCATGAGATCATGACCAGAGCTGAAATCAAGAGTCAGATGCTTAGTCGACTGAGCCACCAGGTGCTCCACATTCTGTAATTTAATGAAGAGGTATTTATACCTATTACAATATTAATATTTCTACATAAGAAACACTTTCTCTAGGGGCACCTGGGTGGCTCAGTCAGCTGAGTGGCTGACTTCAGCTCAGGTTATAATCTCACGGTTCAGGGTTCAAGGCCTGAAAAGGGCTCTGGGCTGACAGCTCAGAGCCTGGAGCCTGCTTTGGACTCTTTGTCTCTCTCTCTCTGTCCCTCCCTCACTTATGCTCTGTCTCTGTCTCTCTTTCTCTACCTCAAAAATAAACATAAGAAAATGAAACATTTTCTCTAGACATATATTATCTGTTTAACAAGACAGACAAGCAGGGGGGAACACAGTGCTATGATCCCATTGTCAATTTTTATACCTTTCATTAGACAATATCGTTTGTTGAGAATATGGTTTCAGAATGCAGTGTATTATATAGAACAGTTAACTATATCCCCCACTTAAACAGCACTTTGTTCTTAGCATTACATATTTTGGAAAGGAAGAAGTGGCAAGAAAACAAGATGATGCAGTAACTTCCCAAAGTCACTTCTGTGTTAGGTCCCGGTCTTTGGGATCTTTTCGGCTCATTTTATTATAACACCTGGATCTTCATCTATCCTTACAAAAATAGATATTTAGAACTGGCATTCACATTTCAAGATATGTATTTATCAAAGCATTGTATCATGTTCAACATCATGCCATTATTAATGTAACAATTTATTTTAAAATACTTCAGGAAACATTTTAGAAAAATAAATCAGTGAAAATGTATAAGTTCTTAGTTCTTAGGTTGATATTCCATTGCAAGAAGATCTGAATCCTGTGCAATTTATATGTTTTCCTTAAGAGTATGATGTCATCTTGCTATTTATCCACTCCAGTTCATGTAGTCATTTAAGTAACTTTACAAATATATAATGCAGCGTGACTAGTTTCTGAACCGTGGGTTATTTTTCATACAGGTTGTTATGCTAAGTGTCCAGATAGCTCTCCTTATCTGGATGAGAACACCATGAAATGCGTCAGTTTATCTGAGTGCAGCTGCTTCTATAATGATGTCATACCAGCAGGTGGAGTGATTCAGGATAACTGTGGAAGAACATGGTACATTCTCTATTAACTTTCCGAGAAGCAATTCTGTTTCTCGCATTTTCATTTAGAAAAATTTTTTAATATACATATATAATTTTTAGCTCTCTTATTTCTAAATGAGAACGCTAGCATTAGGTTCAATTTTCTGTCAGTAATGCTAGTTATTTCGTATTTACAGTAAATCCATATATCAACAAATGGCTTAAAGCTTATAATGAGGAAAACAGGGACAGAAAAGGTCACTTGTAATTTTAGGTAAAAAGAAAGTTTTATTTCTATAAATGCAAGATCATGCTTATAGGCTTCAGACAGTGACATAGAGGCAAAGAGAAGTCTCTGCCAGAGCAACATGGCCATCGGTGTCATGTTTAAAGCTGAAAATGTAAGAACTAACTGTACAGTTTGACTGCAAAGCGTTTTAGGTGCTAAGAACACTGCAGTGAAATGATTAGGAATAATGATACCGTACACCAAAAAATAAACCTCCTTTTGGGGAAATGATTATTTATTGTTCTCTTATCTGGTATTGTTTCGATTCTCATGGTTAGACAATTTGTTGTTTCAAATTTGGGAGGTGTATGCCAGTAGGAGTTAAAATTTCAACCTCATTTTCTTTTTAATTTAACTTTCAGCTATTGCATCGCAGGAGAGTTGGAGTGCAGTGGTGAGTCCTTGCATTTGACTCTAATTGAATTAGGGAAGACGAGGTAAAGAGCTTGGGATTCTTTCAGATGGTCAACAGCAAAAGGAATAGATACTTAATGCTTAAACTGCTCCTCCCTCCATGATTTGGGACAGTTCCATTGCAGTGTATTTGCTCATGTTGGGTGACTTCAAAACCAATGCTGCCAAGGTTTTCTAACAACTAGCAAGTGAGGCATGGAAGCCCCTGCCTATCTGTAGGCTCTGGGAATTAAGGCAGTGAGACATCAGTCAAAATAGATTCATGAAGGGATGGAGCTGAAAGGTGAGGATTAAATAAGATAGAATTAAATAATTGAAGGATCACTCATGAGCAACAGAATCTAAAGATGAATCTCAATAAGCTTTAAAAGAAAATATGAGCTACTCTTTGGTTTGTATTAGAAATTGTGAGAAGTAAAATAAACAACATGCAGATAATTCATTGGCAATTTGAGATTTTAGATTTTTATTCACCCTTTTTCATTCTTGTCAATAATAGTAACTTACATTTATTTCAGAAACTGCTACAAATTCAACTTTCACAGGTAAAACCATCATGGTTTTCTTTTTTCTTTTTTTTAATTTTTAAAATGACTATTTATTTTTGAGAGAGAGAGAAGGAGAATAAGGGAAGGGCAGAGAGAGAGGTAGTCATAGAATCCAAAGCAGGCTCCAGGCTCTGAGCTGTCAGCACAGAGCTTGATGCAGGGCTCGGACTTGTGAACCGTGAGATCGTGACCTGAGCTTAACTGACTGAGTCACCTAGGGGTCCCAAATCATCATGGTTTTCAGGGGGTATCTTTGATTTCTTTTGTGGATAGTCCTTTATAGTTTCATATCAGTCTATGACAGTAAAAATTATGCTGGTAAATCTGATACAAAAATTTCAAATTAGAATGAACAGCTACTAAAAATCTGTCAAAATATTATTTCATTTTACTCTAGCATATTCAGTTAGTAATATGATCAGAACATACATTAGGCAATGTATGCTTATTAGTCAAATGTCATCATCCAAAGCTTGACATTTTTAGATAATAATTGGAACAAGTGGAATGAAAATGAGTTAAATGTGGGCTCCCATGAAGTAAAATTTTAAAATCTTGATTACTTTGGGAGGCAATTTAAAAACATAGAAATAAAAAGTTACTTTCTTTTTCTTAACGTCTATATCAGCTCTGAGCTCTTAGGACGTTCAGTCATGTCCACTCAGATAGAGTGCAGACAGAATGCAGTCTAGCTTTAGCTTTGGGACTTGCAATTTATTGGCAATATAAGCATAGTTAGAGTTGCTGCAGTACACTTACATATTCCTGTTCTGTGTGACACATAGGAGGGGATTGTATTTCCTGTAGGCCGATATTCAGAGATGGTGTCAATGAAGAGATAGTGAATTGGAACCCTTAGATTTTGATACTGTATTTAAAGTTGTGTTATTGTCTGTAAAATGCTATTTAAATGTCAGTTATTGTTCATCACTTTCTTAAAGCTAAGATATCCCATGTCAGAGTTCTGAACCTTATTTCTTGTCCCTTCAATAGAACTTATAAAATTCCTATGAGATTTTGATTAGGTGATAAAAACAGAAAAAAATTAAAAAAAAAAACCAGAAATATTTATTTTTTTTGGTGGACATACAGTAAATAAACAGAATTACCTGCATTGATTTAAATGAGAGATTATTTTGTTACTTAAGCTCTGAACACAAGTTTAGAAATTGTCACTTAGTTTATGGTAAGTGACTTTTTAAACTAAATTTCCCAGTAAAATTATCCAAGTAATTTATTTTCTTAAATATTGTCTTCCCTACAGTTTCAACTACAACAGCTACCTCCATATTAAGCACCGAATCAGGTAAAAAAAAAAAAAAGTTGCTTTTTAGCTTCTAAATTGGCAGCAACGTGAATTTGCAATGAGGGCAATTTGGTCCTGTTTTCAAATTTGCCATTCTCAATTTATTTGCTAAATGCCAAATAGCAGGGTCTACATCCAGTTGTAATATTAGTGAAGAACATCTTCCCTATTCAGAGATCATACATCCTATAAAGAACATTCTCCATACTACTAATTTGGAGAAAGTGAAGAAAATTCTACTACTGAAGAACATTCTATGTTAAAGTCTTAAAAGTGATTTACAATTTCTCATTTACTAATATCAAAGAATCTCAATGTTAATTGAATGATTTGCAGTAAAGCAATAGCCTAAGGAGTACAGAAGTATATTGAAATATGTGAACATCTGATTAATGAATTTAACTGTTACATTTAATAATTTATTTGCATTATACAAATATGTAAACATATCTCTAAATACTTCTAATTTTGTCATTTAACACAATTTTAACATACATTTTAAATATTTGTCTCCTTCTTTGTGTAGCAATTACATTGGTAACCAGGAGCTCAGGTGCAGGTGAGCCATAATCTTCAACCACAACTTTAATCACGAGAGCATTTACCAAAAATCCAAAACTTCTTTTTGCACTATTATACCTTTCTAATGACATTTTATGGGGAGTTTTGTTTTGTTTTGTTTGTTTTTTAAGAATGTTTTAGAGGAAGACCTTGGAAAAAATGTTTTACAAAATTATGTTTTCTGACCTTTTACTTATGGTCTATGGATTTGAAAGCTTTAATTTTATACTTTAACATCTATTCACCAATATGATCAAATTTCTATAAAACATTAATTCCAAGTTGACCCATTTTATACATAACCATAGAGGTTCTCAGAAACATACTGTTCCCTCTGTGCAAAATTAATTTTTCCATTGTTTTCCCCAATTCAGCAACGTCCATTCCAGTGACTACAACATCAAGCAGCAAAACAATAGGTGGGTGAATCATAAAACTTGTAAAATGACAATGCAGTTTTTTACATATATTTTTAAAAAAAATTTTAACTTAAAGGCTATTTTAATCAACATACCCACTTGTTTATACTTAGGACCTTTTTCTCCCCCCACCTGAATACTCTTTCTTTATCCTGTTATTTATTACTTTCTCTATTCTTTTTAAATGGATGTATATTTAAATCCATGATTTTTTTTATTGAGGTATAACTGACATATAACATTATATTATTTTCAGGTGTACTTCATAGTAACTTGGTATTTGTATATATTGTAAAACAGTCACCATGATAATTTTAGTTTACATCCTTTAAGCCTTAGACCATGTTTTGCCATACCTGTATTCCCAAATGCACCTAGTTCCAAGCAGTATAATAGTATCATTCAGTAAATATTTGTAGAATAAATGAATGACTCTTCTTTTTCCCTGTCCCAAATTTGTAACTCAAGTATTTTTTTACAGGGGGAGGGGGGAACAGAATTTCTGGTGAAGGTTAGACCATTGGTTAGCTAGTATTTAATTGATAACTCTTACAGTTTATACATTCATTCATTGCAGTTAATCTTCTTTCCCTAAAATGCAAATGTATAGTGTATAATCAAGACTACTTTTGGATTATAATTTTATATCGTGATATAGAATTAGGACTATAATTTTGGGTACTTCTGTAATTCTTAGCAGTGTCTGATTTATTTAGTAATATATTTATTTAGTAATATAGTTAATATATTGCTTATATTCAAAGAGAAAATATATGTCTTAAGTAGCAGCCATAGTGGTATGGAATATCATTAAGAATGCCCAAATTACATGTTTAATTTTCATCAAACTCTCTCTCTCATGTTGCATGTCATTAGAAACACGAAGCACTACTGACTTGCTCAGCATAAATCTTGGAAAGACTGACAGGTTTTAGTAGTATTTTTCTCTATCCTACAAGTGTAAATGTATTTCCCAAGGCATAGTAACAATTTCATCCCAATAGTCCTTCTATGTTGTTTCTTATCTGCTGCAGAAACTTTTTCTGTGTGTCACTTCAGTCATAAACAATGACTAAATTTCTAATACTCATCCCAGTTCTGTTAACATGAAGATTAATTTCATGGTTATATAGTTCCCCTTTAGTTAAAATCATTTGTTCAGCTATTAAAGCTTTTGAATCTCGTGACCATTTAAAGAAATAAAACTACTCTTGACCTCTTGACTATGGATTTGATGAATTGTACAGTTATGCATGAGTGATAGCAATTTTGATAACTATTTCAATGTAAGGATGTTATCTACATCCTGTATCACAGTAGGTACTCACAACTAGGAAAACTGACTTGATTTTTATTCCGTTTATACATTTATTTCCTTTCATTGCTTTTCTCTTCCCAAGAATTAGTTCTGAACATATATTATGGAAATTTTATTTTGACAATACTTTGTGTACAGCAAGCAAATTTTTATATAAAACAGCAAGTCATGAGTAGATTATCTAACGAGTTTTAGTGAGCAGCTGATGAAATTTTAGATGTAAAATGTTTAACCTTAAAACACTATAAAAATGTCATTAATCATATCCACCATAGTATTAAAAAAAACCGTAAATCTAATGTAGAGTTGAATTATAGGAAAGATTACCTAGCTGATTTTTCACCCTGGAATTCATAAGATATTATTTATGACTTTTTTATGCTGAGCCTTCCCAAATCTTAGTGTTCTATTTCATTCCACTGAACTTCCAGTAGCTATTTCATGTTCTAGAAGTATATTGTTAATAATTTACTAAAGCGCCACATTTGTACTGTATTGCAAGATATAGCAAATAACAACTTTTAAGGAGGGTTTAGGGGTGCCTGGGTGGCTCAGTCGGTTGAGCGTCCGACTTTGGCTCAGGTCATCATCTCGTGGTTCCTGGGTTTGAGCTGACAGCTAGCTCAGAGCCTGGAGCCTGTTTCAGATTCTGTGTCTCCCTCTCTCTCAGACCCTCCACTGTTCATGCTGTCTCTCTCAGAAATAAATAAAACATTAAAAATTTTTTTAAATAAAAAAGGGTTTACTGTATTCTCGTCATTTAGATACACTTTTTCATTCATTATCTCATTAAATGTCAACAATTGCCCGATTAAGTAATATTCTATGGACCCTCTGTCTTCATCATTTTGCAGGGAAGGAGATGCAAAGAGCTTAAATTTTCCAGAGTTCTAAAGATCAGAAGAAAGGGAATTTTCTAGTGTGATACAGAGAGAAATCATCGTTGATTTTCTTTTCCTTATTATCCATGAAAGCCAGAAATTATTTCCAGAAATTATCACTTCAAAGACGTAAATCATTAAGGCCACCCCAAAATATTCTAAAATCAGGAGACAAAAATAATTTTTTATGTTAAAATTATCTAATTGTGCCACAAATTGTATGTGTTTTAAATAAATTTAGACAATAATCCCAATACACAGAAATCATTGCTTATCAAGTTATCAAATCATTGATCCCTTTCCAGCATTAATTAATAATATACATATAGCTTATCTTGTTACTGGATTAAATCTGTAAGTGCTTATTTCCCAGATGAACTGATGCATAAAAATTTTGGCAATTAATCAAGTCTCAGTTTTAAATGAATGGTAGTTTAAAATTTGATTTAAATTTAAGCTCCTTATTCACTGTCCCATATATTTTCTGAGACTATGCCTCTATCATTTATATCAGGAGAGAATTTAGAAGTTACTCAAGTCATAACTGATTTACTTTCCCCCAAAAAGCAGTGACTGGTAGGCATGGATCATACCACTTGTTCATCTTCGTTGACTCGATTAACTGGACAATCATAAATTGTCTACTTCAGCATGTGCTATAGATTCCTGGACTGTGTACAAAATATTCAGAATAAAATGTGACATTTCTGAATTTTAGCAACCATAAGAGACAACATGCCCATTTACCCCCTACTCAGGAATCATAACAATCTATATGAAATGAGGATGGCACTCAGAACAATCTTAGAATATACTAGTCGTGTGTTTACTGGGCATTTTATTTTGAAGTTCTAAAAGGAAAAAAGAAAAGTCAAGTCTGGTGATGTTGTTTTTCATTTTACATGTAAAAATAAAACATTTCATTTTAAGACGTAGCAACATATGTTTCCTTTTTAAACTTTTTTCCCCTAAATTCATCCAACAAGCATCATGCCATAGTAAAAAAAAAAAAAAGCCGTTTTCAGCGTTCGCCTTTTGAACACTTTTAAAAGAAATACATCCTTTTTGTGGAGCAATTGCCTTACACAAATTGTAGACTTTTTTTTTTTTAATTTTTTTAAGTGTTTTTTTTTATTTTATTTATTTTTTTTATTTCTAGGAGAGAGAGACACAGGGTGAGCAGGGGAGGGTCAGAGAGAGAGGGAGTCACAGACTGAAACAGGCTCCAGGCTCTGAGCTGGCAGTCAGCACAGAGCCCGACGCGGGGCTCGAACCCACGAACGTGAGATCATGACCTAAGTGAAAGTCGGACGCTTAACCGACTAAGCCACCCAGGCGCCCCAATTGTAGACTTGAAAGCCACATTCCATTTCTTTTACTGACATCCATGGTTTAAAAGTTGAACAGCATTTGACAAATTGGGATGAATCCATAGCTACATAATGATGTATGTACATAAATTTTTTTGTTTTTCAGCTTTCTAGGGGTGAACTGCTTGATCAGTGATGAGAAAAACGGATGTCGAAATAAGGGTTTAGTCATCATCACTGGCAAGGTTTCTTGTTACTTTATAAATATAGTATGCATCAACTAAAAATATTTAAATAGCTATTTAAAAGCAAAAGTTTAACATTTTCCAGATATAAGATAGCTAGGAAGACACACCATTTTGACATGTACTTCCTCTTCCTGAGCTCTCCGCAGTAGGTGGAAGGATTTCATTCTTAGATATGGGAACCCATTTCACCTAGAATTTTGTTTTATAGTCTCAGTGTTCTAAATGTAGCTTCATTTTGGGTAATAGTACATTTGAATTGGACCAATGTGATTTGTGGGTTGATTTAATTTAGTCACAGGTTTTCTACTTTTATTTTCTACTTTAGGATTTAAATTTATAGGTATAAAAACCTATAATTCTTGGGGCACCTGGGTGGCTCAATTGGTTAAGCATCCGACTTCGGCTCAGGCCATGATCTCACAGCTTGTGGGTTTGAGCCCTGCATCGGGCTCTGTGCTGACAGCTTAGAGCCTGGAGCCTGCTTCAGAGTCTGTGCCCTCCTCTTTCTCTGACCCTCCCCTGCTCTCTGTCTTTCTCTCTCCTCTCTCTCTCTCTCAAAATAAATAAACATTAAAAATTAAAACAAAAACCCTATAATTCCTGAACACACATGTAAGGTTTATTTTTATTTTTTTAATGTTTATTTATTTTTGAGAGAGAGTACACATGCCTGTGTGTGCACAGGTGGAGGTGGGGCGGAGAGAGCGGGAGGTAGAGGTTCCAAAGCAGACTCTGCACTGACAACACAGAGCCCAGCGTGGGGCTCAGACTCACAAACCATGAGATCATGACCTGCTCCAAAGTCAGATGCTTAACCAACTGAACCACCCAGGTGCCCCAAGATTGACGGATTGATTGAATGGGTTTTTAATATAATTTATTGTCAAATTGGCTTACATACAACAGTGCTCATCCCAACAAGTGCCCTCCTCAGTGCCCATCCCCATTTTCCCTCTCCCCCACCCCCTACCCACGTTCAGTTTGTTCTCTATAATTAAGAGTTCTTGTGGTTTGCCTCCCTCCCTCTCTGTTTGTAACTTTTTTATTTCACACTTCCATTCCCCCATGGTCTTCTGTTCAGTTTCTCAAGGTCCACATATGATATCTGTCCCAAGATTTATTTTTAAAAGAGACAGGGCAGAGGGGCAGCTGTTGGCCATTACCTTATTCCATGAGTGAAGTCATTTTAATCAGGTACTGAATGAAATACCTCCCTAAATCCAGGACTTTTCACTGACCATTTTGTTAACCTATAACTTGAAAAGATTAAACAAAATTTTTAAAGTTTCTTTCCTTAAATTTAAATGACTTTTCTCAGATGGATAGAAGGCCAGATAGGAGGAGAAGTGACTAGGTCCCCAGGAGAGGATTGATGATTTATTTGATTTTTACATTCAAGCATCTCGTATAGAAGTTATGGTATGATTACACTATTGCACATTTCTTTGAGATAAATAGCATAGGAGTGAAGTGTACTTTTAATGAATTTAGAAACACATTGCAGAAAACCTTAAAAGCACAAGGGAAGCAATATGCAAAGCTTAAGCTTTTCTCTCTGCATTATATATCTATTCTTTTTTCTATACAGTATATGCTTTCAAAGGGTTAAAATATTCTGAGAGATGCCTAGCCAATCATTCCAATAAGTATGTTAGTTTTAGAAGAAATATTATGCAATTATGGTTTTTTTCTGTTGAAATGGATAGATCTTGACACAGAGTTAACATTTACTGAGCAATATTCTAAGTATTTGACACATATTATCTCATTTGACACAGAAAACTCTGTGAAGTAGTGTCATAATTTTCCCCAATTTACAAATGAGGAAATAGAAGCAGAAAAAGTTTAAGTTATATGTCCAGGGCTGTCTGCTAATAAGAAGCACAGAGAGGATTAAAATTCAGGACATCTTTTTCTAGATTCCAGTCCTAATGCTGCTGTGTTTTGATATTTAAGAAAGAGGAAAGTTGAATTTAATATAAATTAGTTATTGAAATAGTTGCATATAATTTCAGATTCCAATTTCAAGTTGGTAATTGTGTTAAAATTTATGATTTACGTAGTAATTTTCTATTAAACTACAAAAAGGCTCATTGACCATATGGAATACTGATTCATATAATTAAAAACTGCGTTTGTAACATGATTTGATATCTTAAAATGCATTTTGTTACTTTCTCAAAAAGTTAAAATCTTAGAGTCTTACAACTATACTTATTTGCATAAAGAGCTTATTCTAAAATAGAAAAATAATTACATCTTAGAAAAGATAATTACATCAGGGTATTATAGTCACCTCAGTGTAGTGGGAAGTAGAAGCAGAAAAATAAGAATTTGAATCCCTTCTGTTCTACTTACCAGCTGTAGGACCCTGGCTTAAGTCTTCAAACACTCTGATCATTAGTTTCCTCATTTATTAAGTGGGAAGGATATAATACCTTGAGAAAAGAGTAAATGTTATAGTGCAGCTTAGTATAATACATAGTAAGATTCAGTAAAATCAACTTTATTATTACTAACAGGTTTTTAAAAATTTATTCATTTTGAGAGAGAAACAGAGAAAGAGAGTGGGGAATGGGCAAAGAGAGGGAGAGAGAGAACCCCAACCAGGCTTTGCACTGCTATCTCAGAGCCTGATGTGGGGCTTGAATTCATGAACCGTGAGCTCCTGATCCTAGCCAAAACTGAGAGTCAGACATTCAACTGACTGAGCTACCAGGGCATCCAATTACTATTAACAGTGTTAATAGTAACAAAGGGGTTTAATATTTTTATTTTAGTAATCAGAAACCCAATTACTTCTTGGATTAAAACCTGGGTTATGTTTTTCAGAAAAATGATATTTTGCAAAAACTGCAAACTTTGAGGTACCAGAATTGGAAAATGTTATGGATACTCCTTAAACTTATGTTAAGTAAAAATGGAATCCACTCAAGGAAAATGGCAACATAATATTTTTATAAACATTAAAATAGTTCTTTGATCAGAAAATCTTAATAGTAGCTGGAAAATTATTTGCAATATTTTATTTTAATTATTCAGTCTATTATGAGGGGAAAAATAAGGTAAATTAATTAAATTAATTAAATTAAGCTTATCATGAGGTAAAAATAAATGGACACAGTTGCTTTGAAAATTTTTGGAGTGGGTTATTACCTCATAATGCACAGAGCCATCAATATTTTGTCAGCTCTTACTATGAGCAGTTATATCTTGGCAACAAAGCAGCTGATACACAGTTGTTCACAATATCAAGTACTTTAAGCATATCTGTTCATTTGTAAGTGAGAGAAAATATCAAGTGTAATTGCAGTGGTTATGGATGTCAAAGTTAATGAGAACAGTAATGCTTTATCAGTTTTGGTCATTAACCCATGAAGAAAAGTGGATTCTTCTCTATTCCTGTTAGTAAAAGCTTGCCCATATTTTTATCACTGAATCAACAATTTTAGACTTCTATCTTCTGTGGTTTATTTGTTAAGGAAAATAAATGCTATATTATAATAGCCCAACTGGTATGCACTCCAATCTGTGACTAGTTTAGATAATTCTTGTGGACCTGACTAAAGACAGGTCCTAAAGATCGACTTCAGAGTCTGTTGCCATGTTAGCCATACCAATAGCAAGGAAAGGCCTATAAATGTGTTTTCTCCTTCACATGCTAATATTTGTAATCTGTGCTCTACCATCTATGGCAAGCCACTAGGTTTCCCTTAACTCCATTTGATCAGAGCATATACAAATGTGGAAATTGTGGAGAAGATTTGATTCTGTTCCATGTGATAATGCTGCTTTTAATTAAATATTATTGTGTTCAATTTGAAAGAGCTCTAATTGGAACCACCAAAATTCCCTAAAGGTCAAATCTATACTGGGAAATGAATTCAACATATTCTTTTGGAGTATCACGGTGTATCCTGCCCACATCATTATAATCTTAATAGTCTCTGTGGGCCATGGAATAATAGTCTTTCTATGTGACCCTTGCATCCAGATCAACAAGACATTTTGCTTCAATGTCCAATTAATGTGTTTATCCATGAGAAAAGATTTGAATTGGCCTATTGGTGGAATCTTCTTGACACTGATTTGAAAATTCTTCTCAACTAAAGCTTGACAGTTATTTTGAGAATTCTCACATAAACCTCTCAAACTACTTAACCTATTTATAATATCCATTTTGTGAAGTAATCAAGAAAGGATATTTTAATATTTGGTATTATATTTTTTCCTGCCTAATTTATAACATTTTCATTGATATAATGAATGGATAATTAAATGACTACAAGTGGTAGTTTATTATACATAGAGGCAACCTTATATAAAAAGCCATTTGGGTTACAGTCCTAGGTACTGGATGACTTGGATTTAGTGCCAGCCTTGTCACTGACTAGCAACTATCTTGTGAAAATCACATGGCTTTTCTGAGGCCAATACTTTATATGGAGAATAAGCATAATATTTTTCCTTCTTTCCTTCTATTATCAAATACTTATCGAGCACTCATTAGGTGCTGGGTACTCTGCTATCATTAGAGATATAAAGATAAGTTAAAATAGATATAATCCCAGTGTTCATAAAACCTATAGTCTAGTGAGGAAGATGGATACCAATCAAGTAATTACAAATACGAATGGGAATTTGCATCAATGACAAGAGACATGAAGTACTTAAAATTGGGGCGGGGTAGATGGAGAACGGATTTGAACAAGTCAAGATGGTCAGGAAAGGCTGAGGAAAAGATAAGTTGAGAACTGACCCGTGAAGGTTTAACTAGGAGAAGAATAAGGAACTGTGTTCTAAGGCCAGGGAACCGCAAACAGCAGATATGAGACACTGAGAAATAGTCAGCATGGCTGAACAAAGAATGAGGATCAAATAGATTATGTGAGATGCGTTTTCTTCTTTTGTAAGTTGCAAAATACTGTAATATTGTAAAGTGTGACATTACCATATAAATAATGGATTTCCAGGGCTTTTCAACAAAAACTAAGACTAAAATAGAGAAAATAACTGGTTTTACTGTTTATGAAAACCAGAAATTAACAAAGGCTTAATTTTGAGTCCACAGCACCCCCCCTTCCCTCAAACATTTAATAAACTGCGAATGTACTTCTGGCAGGAATGGTTGGACGGGAGGCCCTGGGAAGGCAAAATAAAACTATGGCCTCTTCTTTCAGGAGTTTACTGGTAACTGCAAATTTATCTCCATAAACCTAATATATAAAAGTATAAAAACAAATCCTAAAAAATATTTCTTCCCGCTACCCCAAATATAGACTAAATGCTACTTATTAGACACCTATGGAAGGCACTGACCACCAGAAATAGAGTAAAAGAAGTCATTAACTTCAACATTAGCTTCTGCTAACAGAGAATTAACTTTCTCATCATTGATAGACATTTATTGCATTTAACCTGTATTTGGAATTCAGCATATGTCTGTTAGTATACACATGCATATCCATACCCCTTCACACATACACATATACACTGTAAAATACATTATGATGTCATTATTTTAAAACTGAAATCAAAATTTAATATTAACTCTCAGTACTAAATATATTACAAACTACTACATATTGACAAGTAACAAGCCAGCAATCTTTCCAGTATTCTCCCTTGAGGTCAGACAAATTTGCATCATTTCTCTTTTTCTTACCAGGGACAACTCTAAGTCTTCTGAGTGAACCTTTTACTACAGGTAAGTATACTAATTTCTGGTTTTATATGTGAAAAAATAACAAGCTGAAAGGTATTAGTAACTGGGTTTTTAAGAAAGAATTTATATGAGAATTTGGCTTTTGACAAAACATTGCGAACAAGTAATTTATTGAGGTTTTCCCACTGATTTAACATTTTTTAAAAAGCTTGAATGTATCTTGTTTTTGATCAGTTTATGTTGACTGGCTATAATATGGTTTCCAGTTTTAATTTTTTCCTTATCAGTAGCTATTAATAAAGTATCTGTAACAGAGCTAAATCACATCAAGCTCAAATTTTTAAAAAGTAATAGGATAAGAGAAAACATGTCTATATCTAATGCTGTATTTTGCTCTTTTAGGTGTTTTAAGTGTAAAAGTAGTAGTTAGCTCTTTCATGATTTTTCATCACTGTTATTATCCCTGAATGACAGTGTGATGAGGACTTAAGGTTCCATTTATTTGAAAGGAACCTCATTGAGACAAATATATGAAGACTTAGCCTGACCCAATTTAAGATGCCTAGAACACAACTGTTTTTAAAAAAGGCAATAAAAACAATAAAATAGCAAAAACCAAACCAAAATCTTTGAGGAAAGTTATAGTAGAACAAAATTGTAGGGGACTGTGGACAAAACGTCGCTGGATTCACACTTCCATTTTCTGGAGTAGGAACTGACTGAATAGTTAAATCACCTATTGGTAACGAAGTCCGAGTATACTTAAAATGAAAAGTTCATTTTCTGTTTTTCTCAGGTGTTATTGGAACTCCAGTTCCCATGACCTTCAGTGCTGGCAGCGCAGGCACGACTGCAGCGTTCCCCGCCTCCACCAGCCCGGGGCGCATGGCAGGTAAACTGAGTTCAGAACAAAGTGTACCATCCACAGCTAAGCAACTGGCTTCAGGCAGTGCTTCTCAGTACGAGATTTTATAAAATAAAGATATCTGGCTTAGGTAAAATATCAGCCTTGGGTTTTCTTTATACATGATTAAAATGTAGACATTTAGGGGATGCCTGGGGGGCTCAGTCAGTTAAGCATCCAACTCTTGATTTTGCCTCAGGTCGTAATCTAACGGTTTATAAGAGGCAGCCCCACAATGGGGTCTGTACTGACAGGACACATCCTGCTTGTGATTCTGTGTCTCTCCCCCTCTCTCTGCCCACCCCACGCTTGCACTTTCTCTCAAATTAAATAAACCTTTTTTAAAAATTAAAAACATACAGAACTTTAGTTTGTTTCACAAGTTGCTTTCTTAAAGTATATCATGCTGTTACAATGATATATACCCATTACTTGGAAGTTGATAACACCCCTACGCTTTTCAGCAGGTCTTTGCTTTTTCCTTCCCTTCATCAGGGACAACAGGAGCCTCAGCAAGAACGACTATAGGAACTGAAGGTGGAGGCACAAGTGACACGAGCTTCAGAGTAGGTGAGACAGAGAAATGAGTCAAATGTGATCTCTTCCCCTACTTCATTTCACGAGAAGTCCTCCTTTTCATTCAGAAACCGTTGCCCCCTGGGCACAGCATTACACAATGGGGGTCGAGTGTCAGTGCTGAGTCAGATGATGGCTTTGGGGAAAAATTCAATACTAATATATCATGTATGTGTTCAATAATATTTGCATGGCACACTAAAATTTCTGAATTATTCTCAAATGGAAAACATGTAATTTAGTTCACATTAACGCCGTGGCAGTTAGGCATTGTTATTCCCGTAAGGAAGAAAATAATAAAACATCTCAAAACTGGCAGAGGCAGGATTAGAACCCAGAACTCTTATCCTCCTCTGTAATGGTCCCACAGTTTTGTGATCTGTGCATAAGAGCATGCATCCGAGGAAAACCAGTGAATATATGCTTCTTGCTGTGCATCATTGACTAAATCTTAACTATTGTTGGTTTCAAGAATAAAATATTATTGACATTCTTTAAGCATAGATGATTTTAATTAAAAACAAACAGGCCTGCCCCTTAATCAGTCAGTAATTTCAAACAGCTCTTCAATTTCCTCTGAATCACATTTGCCTCTGCTTTTTGCTCAGGTGTTAAACATTTTCCACCTTGTTGGGAGCCATTCTGAGCCCACTAGTCAGGAAAACTCCTGGTGAGGTATGCTGGAGCCCAGCTCTGGCCAGGTTCAGGGGTCCCTGAAGGACAGACGGTGCCAGCCAGGGAGGGAGGGAGAGAGCCACGGGAATCTTTCTGGTCACCAGACAGGCACCTCTGTCCTGTCGGTTTTGGTGTCTTTATTTACATGTCAAACATTAACATGGCATCAGAAAAGGGGAATTTTTACAATGGATAGTTCTCTGTGATAAGATGTTTTTGGAAAATGTACAGAAACAGGTTGTACAGAAGTCTTCTTGCAGAACTGCCCCAATTATAGTGCGGTTGAGTAACTAAGAAAATCACAGGGTAGGGGCACCTGGGTGGCTCAGTCGGTTAAGCTTCTGACTTCGGCTGAGGTCGCGATCTCCTGGCTCGTGGGTTCGAGCCCCTCATCAGGCTCTGTGCTGACAGCTAGCTCAGAGCCTGGAGCCTGTTTCAGACTCTCTCCCCCTTTCTCTCTGACCCTCCCCTGGTCATGCTGTCTCTCTCTGTCTCAGAAATATATAAAACATTAAAAAAACTAAATTAAAAAAAAGAAAAAAAGAAAATAACAGGGTGTTCACATTTTAATAACACTAAGATTAAGTCATAGGTTTGTAGATATTCTTATCCATCCTCATCACAGCTGCCAGGGTAAGGGAAGGTGTTTGTGGAATGTAGGCCTTAGGGAAGGGACTGCTATACATCATCAGTTAGCAAAGATATATGTAGTAACTTATGTTCTGCCCTTATCTGTTCCTTCTCTCTAAGTTAGGTTCTTTGTCTCTGGGCAAGACTTGATTTTCCAGTTATATTCTTTAAGGCACCAGAGAGCCAATCATACCTTTAAAGAGTTTAGCTCATTTCCAGTACCTAGAATAGCTTCTTCAAGTGCATTTACCTTTGTGTCTAGTTGTATGATTTCTTGAATAGCTAGGGCATGAGAGACATTTTTGGTTAGCTGATTTACATGTTGAGCTGTATGAACCTCTTGGACTAACGCAACAGTAGAAATAGAATTGTACACGTAAAGGTCAATCTTTTATGAGTAAGGGTCATTAACCTGTTCATAGCTCAAGGGAAAGTATGGAGGGAAACAGGACCTGCTGGAAACACGATGTCTGCTCCCATAATCAAAACAAGTTCCCACAATAAGTTCCCTCACAAGGTGCGATCATCATACCAGGGCCAGGATAAGGGGACAAGTCACTCCCAATACTGATCAACAAGGTATCTTGGGGGCTGGTGCTCAAGCAGAAATAATTGAGTGGGGATGGATATCGGTCGTCGTCTGATGGCAAGAGACTGTGCAAGCTTGCTTTAACCTCACCAGGAGCTTTCTCGACTAGTGGGCTGAGAATGGCTCCCAACACCACCTAATACCTGTCCACATAGCTCAACTTCCTCTAACACGGGTGTTCAAAGGATTATTCCCAGACCCACAGCCTCAGCATCACCTGGGAATTTGTTAGAAATTCAGATTCTTGGTTCACCTGCCTTGATTCAGAAGCATTTGAAGTGGAGCCCAGCAAACTATATTAACAAGCCCTTTAAGCAACTGATGCATATCAAAGTTGAGAACATTTCCACTCTTTCCCCACTTCCGTTCCAATTTACTCTTTAGTCAGTACCACACCAGAATGAACTTCCAAATTTCAACTGTCATCAGGTCATTCCACAATTGTTCTGATTGGTTTTAGGATAAATAAAAACTCCTTTACATACCACTAAAAATAATTTCTTTAGTATATGCAATGGGGCTTCGCTTTACATATTTATTAACTAATCCATTGCCCCATATTATTTTCCTACATTTGTTTTCCCCTAGTAAATTTCTTTACTTAAAATTTATGTTTTAAATACTTTCTGGAATAAATTACAGTTTACATAAAAATAACATATTAAAAGATATAATCTACAGCAGCACAAGTTAAGACACTGGGTGATTGCAGTTTGATCAGTGAATTTATTGAACTCTTAGGATAATCACCATTTAGTTTATATTTCCAAAAATTTGAATCATAGTTACTGGGTCATGCTGATGAGTCAATCAGCTATCCTTTTGGGGATCAGGCAATCTGTGCAATGGTTTTGAGCAGGGCTTCTTGAAGTTTGGTCCACAAGGCGTGCCATCCAGAACGTTTGTCACTGGTCCATGATGTGGCAAGAACTGAGCAGCAGTTTGACACAGTGACTTCATATCTGTTGAATAAAACTTACGTTTTCTTTGGTTTTACTTTTAAAAATTTTATTTCTTCACTTTCATGATGTCCCCCCTCCCCCCCCAACCCCTGCCAAATAGGGCAGATTGGAAATTTTACAAAATTGTTCTCTTACCACAGTTGCTCTGAGAAGCACATTTAGAGTGTCACCTCCAAGGGGGAGACTTCCTGGGTTGGCTCCTGGATCTGTTGCCAACTAACTGGGTGGCCTGGAGCACGTCACTTCACCACATCTTCAGTGGGGATAAAACTGCCTGCTCTGGAAGATTTCTATAAGATTAAATGAGCTGACTTAGGTCTAGGGTATTTTTGAAACTGCTATATTTTGTCAGGAGGAACAGGTGGCCCTACTGCACCAACAAGAAGAGGTGAAGACAGCACATCCAGGGAACCAAGCACAAGGGTGACAAGCCCGGAGAAATCAGGCAAGTCAAAATATGCATTTTAGTGCCTCTTAAGTGCACTGAATATATCACAGTTTGAACTAAAGATTAAGCTCTACATGGGGCACCTCAGTGGCTCAGTCGGTTAACCATCTTACTTCAGCTCAGAGCACAATTTCAGTTTGTGAGTTTGAGCCTCACATGGGGCTCTCAGCTGCCAGCGCAGAACCTACTTGGGATTCTCTCTCTCTTCTTCTTCTCTCTCTGCCCCTCCCCCACTCTCTCTCTTTGTCTCCAAATAAAGAGACTTTTAAAAAAAATTAAGCTCTATATGATATTAGACTGATATTAGATATCTAGCTGCAGAAATCCTAGGAGTCCTCTAAAGATTCTTTTATCTTGGAAACCTCAATTCTGTCCTGTCAGAAAAGAGTGATAGACATAATCCTGCAATTCTAAAAGTAAACCCCTTTCCCCACTGTTGTGTCCGGGACCCCAGAAGTTTCAGAGGGCTTCACAACAGCACCTGGGAGTGAGAACACAAAGGGAGACTCATCTGCCCCAGGCACAACCGTGGAAGGCAGACCAGGTATGGAAGTGCAAGATCTAAAGCCTCTTCTTACTGACCTTAGGGAAGCTTCCAGTGGCACCTGATTGAATAGTTTTAATTATTACTGCATGTATTCATGACTCCACTATCACTGTTTTTATGGGCTTAGTGGCAGTGTTTCTCTAACATCAGCTCAGATGTGATGTAGAGCAAAACATGGTATATTTCAAACTACAAGATCCTTGCCTTACGACTTCTGAGACTATGAGTCTGGAGTGAGATTAGGGTCATGGTTTGCAGTCTTGGCCACAAATTAGAACTGAGTAGAAAAATGAACAAGTATGTGAAATCATAAATGAGCAAATATATGAAAAGAAACAGCTTATGCTGCTCTGCTTTACCAAAGATCATGATACATATTTATTTTTTATTTTGAAATGGGCTATTGGATCATCAGCTAGTGATACAACTAGACCCCCAACCAGAGGAATGACACAATCTGAAGGCGAGTTAGGCGAATAGAGAATGTCATCCAGAGGCCATGGCTTTTGTAAAAACAACCTCCTCCCCGACAAATCCCCAAAATAAAACAGAAGAGTCTTTCATCAGAATTCTCCTGATTTCACTTGTTTTAATTAATTGAATACCCAGCAATGATGTAGAGTGGTATAAAAACAATTAAGTTTTCAAGAAGATATTTATTTTTCTGGTTTCTCCAAATCTTCCCTTCAAAAATGCCAAAGTACTAGATAAAAGCTACAGTAACGTGTATGCTGTCCCAGTACTGTGTTTATCAAGTGGGACAGGAGTACCCGTTGGAACTACCACTGGAACTGGCGGTGGCATCACAACAACTAGACGACCTTTCACTGACTGCACCCCAGCTGGGAAATCAGCAGACAAGGCACAGGCTCACCTGACCATTTTGGTGGCACTTCAAGCTTTTATAAGATGTTGAAGTGAATTTAGCAATAGCTATAGTTGTAATGGCTATTATTTTAGGACAGATGAATATGAGTAGCTATTCATTTGGTCATTTTCATTTTCATTTTCATTACAACCATCTATGTAGACTAGAATTTCCAGATGAAAACACAGGATGTCATTTACATTTGAATTTCACATAAATAAAGAATGGTTTGTGGGTGTTGTATGGAAACTAATTTGACAGTAAATTACATTTTTAAAAAAAGAATACTTCGTTATAAGTATGTCCCATTGGGATGACTGTTGTTTATCTGGAATTCAAATTTAACTGGACGTCTTGTTTTATCATTTGCTAAATCTGGCAACCCCACTGTGGACTGAGCGCCATTGTTCTTTTCCATTAGGAACAACTGAAGGGGAAAATGCAGCCACCCCTGGAGCTGTTGGTGACAACACTTCTGGAGCATCAGGTACTGAACAAACGTAATCAGAATGAATCCAGACAAGAGAAATGTGATTTCTCTACTTACAGTTTTGACAGAGACAGTGTTTCCTGTAGAATTTAATTATCATTATTTGTGTAATGTCAAAACTGGAGAAGATCAGAAATAAATCAAGAGCTATTTGTTGTGTGCATAGCATCAGACTGAGTGCTCTAGAGAACAAGGAGAATAGCAATGTACTTGTTCTCTTAGAACTTGTTTTTTGAGCAAGAGAAATGAATATTTATACACACACAAAAGCAAATACCATGTAAGGCAGAAAATAGTCAAAATCAAGGAAATGTTCGGTGATAAGCACTGGAGTGAGAACTCGAGGAAATTCTAGTAAGAAAACTGAGTAGATGGGGTTAAAAACAACAGAATTATTTTATTTTGAACATTATATGATACTGTGATCAGTGTACTGTTACTATAAGCTTTAACTTGAGCAAAACATAAGTGAAAGTTGTGGAATTTTAGGGATATATTCAATTTCATGGGCATAAGAACAGTCATATTTCAGTTATTGAGGTAATAGGATTGAAAACAAAATATTTTCTCCACCCAGAGACCCAGTCCATAAAGGTAGTAGAGAAAGAAAACAGTTTTATAATTGAATAAGCGTTAAGCTAGAATGTGGTGCATATTACAGGCAATTTACTAAGAAACTGTAAAGACAGAAAGGAATTTTGCCAAGCAGACAACCTTTACATACATATTCTCAAGAAAAATTATTACTAGTTCTCAAGTAAGAGGACTTTAAAACACCATTTGTTATACAAAGTTCATCTTAAATTCACTGGTAATTGGGATAACAGTTTGGTTAATCGGAGTTTATTTTCCACCATATAAAACCAATCTTCACAGAAGGAAGGTGTTTTTTTTTTTGTTTTTGTTTTTTTTTAATGTTTATTTACTTTTGAGAGAGAGAGAAAGAACACAAGCAGAGGAGGGACAGGCCTCAAACCCAGGAACTGAGATCATGACCTGATCCAAAGTCTGACACTTGCCAACTGAGCCACTCAGGTACCCCTGGACAAGAGGAAGTTTTGTAATAGGGAGAGAGAAGGGTACTATCTCCTGAAATTTACATTTCAAAGAGATAGTTCCCAGGTCTTTGAGAAAGACCTTCCTGGGTCATTACACTGGTAAGAGGCCTATTTAGATTTTTAAAAGATTTACATACATTTCAAAGAGAAAAAAAACCTAACATTACAAATTTGTGTTCTAAGCAAAGGAAGGGGGGAAAGTCTCTTTCCTTAGTTTCACCAGAAGGAATTGTCTTTTGTTTTAAATTTTCATGTGTCCTTATATAAGCCATCTCATAAGATGATCAATTTCATATTTTAATTACCTAACTCTTCTTTCTATTGTAAAATTAAGCCATGCCTGGGTATTGCCTAAAGCCATCCCTGGAACCCGAGGCGGCAGCACCACTGGGGAAGCAGGCACTAGAAGCCCAAGTCCTGGGAGAGCAGACAAGGCTGGTTCTGACTTTCCAGCTGTGCTCAACCATACCTTCCTCAGCAGGGAGTGATCTGGACTAATCTGGTTTTTAATTTGCTTTGATGATCTTAGAATTGAGTAGCATTTAAACTCAAAGAACCAATGGGGGACAAAAGAAGCCAGGAAAATGTTGGCTGCATGCATACATTAGATCTACACACACTTCTTTCTACAAACCATAAATATCACAGAGCCCACACCTAGAGTGGTTAGAAGGACAGAGAAGACTAAGATTTCAATGATTGGGAGAGATGGCTCTGGGGTTTGTAGTGGAGCTGAGTGTCAGGTCACGTCATCCTAGAAGAGAGGGGAATATAAAGAGGTGCTTAATAGTGGAAGAACATAGATAGCATCAGCTAGGATTTGTCCGTGGAGGGAAAGGGCCGTACCCGGAATGGAGACTACTGAGAGATCTGAGACCTTGCAAGTCAGAGCTCTTGTGGATGTGGAGTTGAAAGAAAGAAGATTGGAGAGTTCATGGAATGAGGACTGGCAGCCATGGAGCCTTGGGAAGGCACTAGGCCGTGTGGAAGCAGGGAAGGGCACTGGAAGGTTGAACAATACTTGTAGCCTGGGTGACAAAGAAAAAAGAGAAATATTTAAAGCCAAGGGCCTCAAGAAAACATGATAGTAATTAAGAATTAGAAGACAGACAAAGGAAAAAAGCCACTTAGAAAGAAGCTCCCCCAGGCACCTGGATGGGTCAGTAGGTTGAACATCGGGCTCTTGATTTTAGCTCAGGTCATGATCTCATGGTTCCTGAGTTCAAGCCCCACATCAGGCTCTGCACTGACAGCATGGAGCCTGCTTGGGATTCTCTCTCTCTCTCTCTCTCTCTCTCTCTCTCTCTTTCAAAATAAATAAATAAAGTTAAAAAATAAATAAAAAGGAGCTTTTCTTCACCATAAACAACCTAAGAGGAGGCTCTTGATCTGCAAACTCTGGTGAGGCACACAAAACTTCTCTGTTCCTGCATAGGATCACCTGCCATGGTTGCTTCGGGAAAATCTAATACAGAAAAACATGAAAAATAAAAATAAAATTCTAATATCTATATAAAGCTATTCACTCATATACATCTTGAGCAATTTTCAGCAATAGCAAGCAAACTCTCAAAATCTAGTCATGAAGCAGAGGAAACAGAACACTAACAAGAATTTAAATTAAGAAACAAACTGCAGATATAGGTCTCAGAATTATAAATTATGAAACTTGAGGGTAAAAATAGATAAACAGTAGGAAGAGGTTAAATTGGAACTGATGAAAACTCAGGAGTAATATTCGGGAAAAATTATCTCAAAAATAAAGACCAAATTACAGGTATATACAGAACAATGAAAGCATTGCAGGGGAGGCAGAGGATGGAATTGAAGATTCCCTCAAATATTGCAGACTAAAGAAAATAAAGTAGATCAGGGTAAGACATAGTTGCAGGAAACAGACAAAAATACCCAACATATATATTATTGCAGTTTCTAGAAAAGAAAAAGCAATGAAACAGAATTAATGTTTAAAACTGTAAATCAGGACAAATGTCCTGCAATCAAAAGAGAAATCCTAAGTTTACATGTTAAAATGATCTACCAAATATCGGGAAGAATTAATCCTGAATGGTCAATTTGGTGAGTTATTTTAGAAAACTTTAAGATTTGAAAAATACAGTCTCTGTACCTTGAGGCAAAAAGAAAAAGGCTTTTAAAATGAAAGAAATTCAGGTTGGTATCAGACCTATTGAGATAAAGTGAGAGCATTAAGAAACTCAAAGAAGGGAAATGTAGGCTAAGGATTTTAAATTGAGCTAAATGTAATTCAGCTGACTTCAGCTCAGGTCATGGTCTCACAGTTTGTGAGTTCTAGCCCCTCGCGGGGTTCTGTGCTGACAGCTTAGTTCCTGGAGGCTGCTTAGGATTCTGTGTCCCCCTCTCTCTGCCCCTCCACTACTTGTGCTCTGTCTCTCAAAAATAAACAAACATTGAAAAGAAGAAATGTAAAGTTTACTTATTTTGAGAGCAAGAATGAGAGAGCACTCATGGGAGAGGTGGAGAGAGAGAGGGAGAGGGAATTCTAAGCAAGCTTCTCACTGTCAATACAGAGCCAGGAACCCAATACAGGGCTCAAACTCATGAACCATGAGATCATGACCTGAGGTGAAACCATGAGCCAACTACTTAACCAGCTGAGCCACCCAGGTGCCCCATAGTACTATTTTTAACTGTAGTTTTAAAATTAGAACAAAAGTTGAAAGAAAGGCTGAAGGAGAATACATAAATGTTACATATTTGACCAACTAAAAATATCATATTAATAAATAGATAGGAAGAAGAAGGAAGATGAGATAATCTTATTGATTAGGTAGTAGTCAAACAAATTACTTAAAGTTCATGAGCCAGATAAGAGAAGTTTGCAGTTATTAAAGAGGTAAAAACAATGATTGTTAAGAAAGAAAATGATATTTAAATTGGAAAGTACAGACAAAGAAGAAAAGGGAAGAAGAAATAATACTTATATTAATGGGTATTATATAATAATTATTATTATTTGTTGAGAAACAGTAGATACTACATGAAAGAAAATTGGGAGTATGCTAATGGGGTTATATACAAATGTTACTGTAAAAATAGAACCTATCAAAACAGAAATAAAGAAGCAAAAAGCAAAAAAATGGGAGCAATTTAAGAGTTTGCATAGCAAATGACAAATGGCTGAAGTTAGAATCCAAAAAACACACTAAAACAATATTTAATAATCATTTTTATTAAGTTTGAAGTTTTGGTGAAAATTTTTTCAAAATTAAGAAGTCCATTAATATAGCTCATACTAGGGGCACCTGGGTGGCTCACTCGGTTAAACATCTGATTCTTGATTTTGACTCAGGTCATGATCTCACTGTTCATGTGTTCGAGCCTCTGAGTTCAAGCCACACATCAGACTCTGTGCTGGCAGTGCAGAGCCTGCTTGGGATTCTCTCTCCCCCTCTCTCTCTGCCCCTTCCGTGCTTGCTTGCTCTTTCTCTCTCTCTGTCTCTCCAAAAAAAAAAAAAAAAAAAAAAATAGTTCATGCTAACAGATCTAAGAGAAACAAAAACAACTAATTATCTACATAGAGGCTAAAAACACATTTGATTAGCTTCCAATAACCATTTCTGATGGGAAAAAAGAAAACATCCCTGAACAAACAACCTAACCAAGCAGTATCCATATGTAAACACTTTTCCTAGAACCAGTATCATGCAATTCATGCAATTAAGTGAATGAATCACTTAACATCTGTAACTTCAGTTTTCTTATCAGTAAAAAATGAGGAATGTTATCTATTGAGTGGGATTGTGATGAGAATCCAGTGAAAAAATAAATAAATGATGTCAAAGCACATCTCTGGAAATGTAAAAAGGGTAATATTACTGATCTAGTAAACAGACATTCTTGTAATCCTTTGTTGGAAGTTGATTTAAGTCAGAATTGTTTATCTCATAGCTTAAGAAGTTCTGGGAATGAGGCCAGTCCATTTTTTCCTTTATAGCAGATACAACTGGAGCATCCGTTGGTACAACTAGTGGAGATGAAAATAAACCTGGGTCACCCAGCAGTGGTACTACAAGCTCTTCAGGTAAACTAGGTGAGATTAGCTAAATGCAAAAAGTCACAAAAATCTGTCAGTGTAGAAACTTGTTTATAAAAGATCAGTCAGTAGAATACTTAGTTGGAAATCCTTCCTGCTTAAAAATCGGAGCACAACAATTCAAATATCATGTGAATCATTTAGAAAGATTGCCATTAAATTCTTTGTTATTCAGTACTTGTGCACTGTTGGGTTTTCAGAGCAATACATGACAATGTGACTGATCTGACAGTTCAGGTGTTCTCCATTACTAAACAAGACTAATGTCACATTTTGGAACTGATGTTCTTACATGGCCAATATAGAAATTACTAGAATGTTACTTGGTACAATTATAGCTGAGTTAATTAAAAATGTAATAGTGAGCATCTAACATATCATCTTATATTTGGTCCTTAAATGTTGTTTTTGAGTTAGGGATGTTTCCTCCTCTAGTTAGTTACATTTCTTCATCTAAGGTTTGCATTGCTCTACACAAAATCACTTAGACAACAAGCAAATATAAACATAAATTAAAAGTACTAAATAGTAGTATTTTTGCATTTCATTGATTGATAATATGGTATTCCCATAATAGAAAATAGTGCAATAAATTATTTTCTTTCTTGAATAATAGGCTTCTGGATATTAAATGGTTCTCAGCCATCAATAGGGATGTTCAAATTCAAGTTAAATTTTTTTTGGCAATCTATTTTCAAAAACCCACTATATTTAGTATTTTAAAAATTTCATCATTCTTTAGTATTTAAAAAGTCATGATTTAAAATATTAATATATTTCTTTATATAAGTTCTTTATTGAACAGAAAAATGATCTAGAACTTTGATAAACAGCTGCCCCATTTCTAAGAATAATCAGTAACATTGCCTTATGAATTGTCTAAATATTCATAAAATAATTTTCTCCCTAAAGCCTCTACATATTGGTTTAAAAAATTCTTCTTTTCTAGAATTTGAAATAGGACATGGGTATACATACCTCATTCACTCGAGGCTCACCTTACAGGAAAACATGCAATGAGGGTATGCAATATGCAATGGGTATAGCCACACCTTACTAAATAATGTTTGTGTTTCATAATACTTAACTTGTTTCAAAGGACTAAAGATATGGACCAAAGAGAAAGAAAGGGGATTGGTAAATATTTCTCATGAAACAGAAAAAAGAAGTGATTGAAAAATGTAATTGGTAAAATAAAATGATACTGTTTTTATACTTTGTTTTTTGCTGGATGTATTGAGTAAAACTTATTCAATGAAATAAAAATATGAAGTAGTCACTTACCATTGTATAATATCATTTATAAGTCATCTTAATCTGTTTTAGCAAAATATAAAAATGATAATCAGAGAAAATTGTACTAAGCATAAAATGGACAAAATGCCTTCACATATATTTACTTACTTGAATCATATAACCACCTTGTGCAATTGACAATATATTAGTGATTATTCACATTTTATAAATAAAAAATTAATGTGTTTACTTTAGTCATAGGATGAATATGTTTGGAGGCTAAAATAGAGCCTAGATGGTCGATTCTTCATCCAGTCATTTTCAGTTACTAGATAGGCGACTGTCTAGTACCATAGTGAATTCCTGTCAAAACTAGAGAAAGTTCTTGTTACCTTGCCTATTCTAGTTTAAAGTTGCATTTCCAGTGCCTAACTCAGTGCCTGACTTAATAAATACTGGTGGATATCTGATGAATATCTAAAATAATGAATAAGAGTTCCCAATGTGGTAAAGGATTCAGAGGCTTTACTTTTATTAACAAAATAAAAATATAGGCTGTATGAAAGAGAACCTTCCAGAAGGAAAGAGCATATGGTAGGCAGTAGGTTATTTGCCCCTATGCCCAAGTAATGAAGCTTTGATGGAAATAGGCACCATACATACACACAACTGTGTAGATTCATGTCTCTACAAATCTAAGGTTTCCAACCTCATCTGTTCCTTGGTGGAATTCTTGATATTAAGGTCTCATATTAGAGTATTCTGGGTGATGCCAGGTTGTTGCCATGTCCTCCCTGTAACCTCCAATGATCCAAATACATTTACCTTCTAGTTCTGCTTCTCTAGGACATGTAGTTCATTTCAGCCTTATGGCTTTTTTACTAGCTGTTCCCACTGCCTGAACGCTATTTCCCTAGAGTTTCACATAGTTTTCTGCTTCTTGTCAGATCTCAAAATATGCTTTTTCAGAGAGGTCTGTTGGCCAAGCAATCTAAAATAGAATCCCAGTTGGTCAGTATTAGCTCACTTTATGTTAGTGCTCTGACAATTTTCTTGCGTGTGAATTTGTTTGGATATAATTTCATATATATGTCTGTATGTCTCTCCCATTCAACTAGAATGCTTTATGAGAGCTGAGAACTATCTAACTACTAGCTACATCATGGTTGAAAAGCTATTTCAAGTATCTTTGCATTAGTTTCTACTCTATCAAAAGGGAAAGTTGTAATATATAGGTCATAAGTTTGTTCAGATGGCAAAGTGAGTACTATTTATATGTTTCTGAGAACTTACACAACAACAAATAACCTATCTAATAAAGGATTGCTCAGTGAATAAACAGGAAGAAGTTACACTGTAGAATAAAAGGTATGAAATCTGGTGGTTACCATGAAGATGCTTGAAAGCTATAGTGGAGAAAGTCCCTAGTTTAACAACAACAATAACAACAACAACAACAAACTCATGATGTATCTTAAACACAAAACTGTATTTTTACTATTTGTTTTGACAGGAACAACTGGACACGATGTTGAAGGAGGAGGAACAACTGGACCATCAGAAGGAAGATCAGGGACAAGTGGAACATCAGCTGTAGGATCAGGGACAACTGTATTATCATCTGCAGTGACAGGGAAAACAGTACCATCACTGGGAGGATCAGCAACAACCAGATCACCAGTTAGAGAATCAGAGACAACTAGACCATCTGTTGTAGGTTCAAGAACATCTGTATCATCAATAGGATTGGCAGGAACAACTGAACCATCACTTGGATTAACAACACCTGGACCATCAGCTGAAGGATCATGGACAGCTACATTATTTCCTGGAGCATCACAAACAACTGAAAACTCTGTTGTAAAGTCAGGGACGACTGGACAGTCCATAGGAGGATCACGGACAACTAGACAATCAGGTGAAGAAGCACAAACAAGTAGACTAGCAGCTGGAGGATCAGGGACTACAGGACCATCCGCTGAAGAATCAGGAACAACAAAACCACCTGTTCTGGTTTTAGGGACAACTCAAATATCTGAAGGATTAGGATCAACTACATCTGTTTTAGGTTCAGGGACAACTGACCTATCATCTAGAGTGACAAGAACAACTAGATCATCATCTCAAGATTCAGAGACTACAGGACCAACGGCTGAAATATTAGGAACAACTATATCATCAGCTGGTATGTCAGGCACAACTGGACAATTGTCTGGTGGGTCACAGACAACTGGACCATATGTTTTAGGATCAGGAACATCTGTACCATCTGAAGGGTGGACAGCGACATCTGGTCTATCACCTGGATTAAAAACAACTGGACAGTCATCTCTAGGATCAAGGACAACTGGGTCATTTTCTGGAAGATCTGAAACCAGTGAAACCTCCTTTGTAAGTTTAGGTACTACCAGTCCATCCATAGGAAGATCACAGACAACTGGACTGTCAGCTGAAGGAGCAGGGACAACACGATTAACAGGTGGAGGTTCAAGGACCACAGGACCATTCCATGGACAATCAGGAACAACAAGACAATCTATTTTAGGTTCAGAAACAACCTTATCATCTTCTAAAGAAATAAGCACAACCAGACCTTCATTGCTAAAGACAGTCACAAGTGGAGTATCAGCTACAGGATCAGCCACAACTGGACTATCATCTGGAGTATCTGAATCCAGTGAACCATCATCTAGTGTCGTAGGAACAACTAGATCATCAGATGGTATATCAGAACCAACTGGACCATCAATGGGTGGAACTGGGATGACAACTGGACCATATTTTGTACAATCAGGAACTTCTGTATCATCAGGAGGATTGACAGAGACATCTGGCCTATTGCATGGGTTAGGAACAACTGGGCCATCAGTTGAAGGAACAGGAACAACTGGATTATTTGCTGGAAAATCAGAAACAACAGCAACCCCTGTGGTAAGTTCAGGGACTGCTGGTCCCTACACAGTAAAATCACAGACAACTGGACAATCTGCTGAAGAAGCTGGGACAATAGAACAAATGGGTGGAGGTTCAGGGACAACAGGACCATTACATGGAGGATCAGGAACAACAGGACAAAATATTTTAGGTTCACAGACAACTAGAGCCTCTGTTGTAAGTTCAGGAACAGCTGTACCTTCAACTACACCAATTGTTGTAGGTTCAGAGACATCTGTGCTTACATATGGAAGGACAAGGATAACTGAAAAATCATCTGGAGTGACAGGGATAACTGGACCAACAGCTGGAGATTCAAATACCATTATAATATCAACTGGAGAATTGGGAACAAATAGATATTCGACTGGCATATCAAGGAAAACTGGACCTTCCTCCGGTGGGTCAGGGACAATTATACCATCTTCTGTAGAAACAGGAACATCTGTGCCCTCAGGAAGATTGACAGGGACCTCCGGCCCATCAGGCGGATTAGGAACAACTGGGCCATCAGCTAAAGGACCCGACACAACTGGATCATTTCCTGGAGGATCAGAAACAGCAACAACCTTTCCTGTAAGTTTAGGTACCCTTGGTCCCAACGTAGGAGACATCCAGACAACTGGGCTGTCAACTGAAGAAGCAGGGACAAGGGGACCATTTGGAGGAGGCTCAGCAACAACAAGAATGGTTGTCGGTGGCAAAGGGACAACCGTGGCATCATCCAGTGGGGAAGGCATAACTGGACCATCATCAGGAGTGACAGGAATAAGCGGGTCATCAGCTGAACAATTTGCAACAACTAGATCATCAGCTGGTGGAGCAGTAACAACTAGATCAGAAACAACTAGATTCTCAACAAGTGGGTCTGGAATAACAGCAGGACCAACTGTTGTAGGTTCAGGAACATCTGTGCCCTCAGGAGGACTGGCAGGGACTTCTGGCCCATCAGCTGGATTAGGAACCACTGGGCCATCAGGAGAAGGACCAGACACAACTGGATCATTTCCTGGAATAGCCAAATCAACAGCAACCTTTCCTGTAAGTTCAGGGACTCGTGGTCCCAATGAAGGAGGCATCCAGACCTCTGGGCTGTCAACTGAACAAGCAGGGACAACAGGACCATTTGGAGGAGGCTCAGCAACAACAAGAACGGTTGTCGGTGGCACAGGGACAACAGTGGCATCATCCAGTGTGGAAGGGATAACTGGACCATCATCAGGAGTGACAGGAATAAGTGGGTCATCAGCTGAACAATTAGCAACAACTAGATCATCAGCTGGTGGAGCAGTAACAACTAGATCAGAAACAACTAGATTCTCCACAGGTGGGTCTGGAATATCATCAGGACCAACGGTTGTAGGTTCAGGAACATCTGTGCCCTCAGGAGGACTGGCAGGGACCTCTGGCCCATCAGGCGGATTAGGAACCCCTGGGCCATCAGTGAAAGGACCAGACACAACTGGATCATTTCTTGGAATATTAGAAACAACAACAGCCTTTCCCGTAAGTTCAGAGACTCAAGGTCCCAACGTAGGAGGCATCCAGACTACTGGGCTGTCAACGGAAGAAGCAGGGACAAGAGGACCATTTGGAGGAGGCTC